CGCTGAATTTCACTGGGTTGGGCGCTCAACCCAGGGCTTGCCTTAGAACAGCTGGCTCCATAAGTTAACTTCTTTGAACTGTCCAAAGCCTGCTTCAAGCTCATCACATGTGTGAAATCAAGAGGCGTAGTGCAACGAAGAAGGGCAAACACATCATATCCAGGACACAAACACCCGGAACGGTCAGGTGGACCTGTCCTGGCTTGACGCATGTACATATATATATATATATACACATGCGAGCTGAATGTGTCTGCCCCAGGTTTACCGAGTCTTCTGTTAATAAAGGCAGTAGCTTTTTCTGTACAGCTCATGTTTATACATAAGTAGGAATTTATACACGTACACAACTGCCTGGGCAAGGAAAGGATGTTTATAGGAAACAGTCATCGCACACATATCATATGTCACGCTCATTCTCTTACGCATCCGGCACAGGGAGAGCTCCGCTGGCAATCTGCAAGCAAAGCTGCAAGATCTCGATTTGATGGCCATCCCCACCCGCATCTCTCCCAAAAAGTCTATCAACTGGTAGACCCCCAGTGGGCAAAGCAAGATGCAAGCTAGGCAAGGCCAAAATGAGTCTGGCCCAATCGCACCCCTAGCAACCTCCGCCTTCCATCCCGAATCTCTGGGCGCTCCAACGAGCAGTCTGCTGCACCGCCAGCCATGGTGCCTAGAAGGAAGTCGTTGATTTCAATGACCTCAGAAAGATTCGCAATGCGGCCAGCGAGCGCCAGAATCCAACCCGCTTTCTCTTGTCTCGCCCGGTTCATTCCATGTCTCATTCCCTACCTATCGCACCAGCAAGAAAAAGCGGGGGCCACATCTCCCAAAAAGCGGGGCCCATCGCCCAGCGCCCATGGCCCATGGCCTTCTTGACGGTCTGCGAGCCGATGTAGCTACCCATGGACGCCCGCGAGTCCACTGCGATGATGATGCCGCCCTGGAACCTCGGCCATGCGCCGTTGGGCACTTTGGGCATTTTTTGTGCAGTTTTTTGGCTTTGGGCACTGTTTGGGCGTTCAAAGCACTTTCAAACCAATGGTAGAGCACTTTTGGGCTACAACAAGGGTTGCAATGGGGATTGGGCGTACCCTGAACAAGGATGGTTATGGGCCGTTAAGTCCATGGCATAAACCTGCAGGTTGCCGTTTACCCCTCAGCCAAACAACAAGACTTGAGCAAGTTGCCGAGCTCAATAGGCGGACCCTCAGGAAAGCTAAACCTGGCCAAGGCTAACCACCGGCTGACTCCGATGCTAACAGGAGGCGTTGGAGGTTGAATAGAGTGAAATCTGCCAGCATTGCCCGCAAGTTGGGATGCCAGGCACCCGTTGAGAAAATTCGGTAATTCCGGCAGGGGTGACACTTTAAGCCTGCAGAAACATCCATGATAACAAGGATTGTCAAGAGACCACGAGGTGAAGCAAGGTTGTGGTGGAGGTGCGTCAGAGTGCTCGTAGAGCTCATTTGGGAGTGACACAAGATCTTGTTTAAAGGCTCGCCATTACACAACTGGAAGATTTGAGAACCTAACCAGGCATAAGGGCTGAGCACGCTTATTCAATCCAGAGCTTCCTAGCTGTGTCCCAATAAGCCACCCTCCACTAAGCTACGAATACAGTGCAGAATCTGTGGCTGAGGGACTTTTGACATTTGCTTCCCACAGAAAAACCAACTGTCTCTAAGTTTGCATCCCGTCTTCAGCAAGACAAGGTACCAACAAAGCCCATGCGCAAACAGCAATGTGGGTGACCTTGAATTGAAAGCTGTGACGACCACCATGGCTGTGGAAGATGCCCACCTCTGTGATGCCAAGGGCAACCCCTAGACTTGGGGGGTTCTTCAAAGGAAACCAAAAGAACACCCACAAACCCATCTGCAGTAGGCACTACACGGGAACTCACAAAATTATGGAGCTTTTTGTAGGGAAACCACAACCTGGTGACCTGGGGTCCGGAATTCTGAGAGACACGGTCCCGTCCGGCCACGCGGCACGAAGCCCAGCGTCGTGGTACCTTTCTTGAAGTCCATGAGCCCTGGCGCCTAACTCGCGACGCGCGGAAGGCGGTAGAAAAGCACTGGGCCCCCGCCTCTTGGGGGAGGACCAATCGGGCAAGGTGAGTACAGTGCCCGGGCATGGTGGGCAAACTGGAGCCCAGGTTGCTTGAATTTGGCTTCCAACCTGGCCAGATGGTCGTGGTCCGTCCAGGTTGCTTTGTGGTCAAGATATTTTAAGCAACGGGCGACACCGCCTGCAACAAGCTTGAAGCGGGGCAACTCCAAACAGAAATAAAGTCGACAAAGGGGTGCGGCGCTGAGAGAAGCTGATAATTAAGTCGACCACTCTCGCCCTGAGTACCACGATCAGGGGCCTTCAATTGGATTGTGTCTCGTGAAGCTACATCTTATATCTGAATATGCAACCACTGCTCCCAAAAACAAAACACATTCATAACCTCTTGGCAGCAGAAACGAGGCAATTGAAACCACCCCTGCCCCCTCCAGCATTCACAGCTCCGCAGGGCCTCCCCGGTCTTCTTCATGTCCAAGCAAAAGGTCTTGGGGTTTGCTACTGGCGCCATTGCAAACCTCGGCGTGGCAGGCGAGGGCCACTGGCCCACCTCAAGGCCCAAGTGTGCTGGCTCTGGTGCAGTAAACACATCAAGGTCCAGGATACCCCTCTTGGGCACGTTGACGTGGAAACTCAAGGGGCAAAGGTTTGAAACCAGCATCTGTGCAAGAAACAAGTCTGTGAAGCAACCAATCCAGATGAGTGTCAATCCCTTTCGACAAGACTGCCACATTGTGGCGTTGTTGGTGCAATGCATCTGCAGATTCCCTGTATGACTTCGTCGTCCGAGGGTTCTCATGAAGCTCTTGGGAGGCGGTCGACTGGACTGCAATGACAACTCAGATTGATCCGGATGAGCGCTGGCTCAAATCGGAGTGATCCCCGTACAATAGATCCCTCCCTCCCCTTAAAGGGAACAGTTGCTCTCAGACCTTTGTTGACCGGGTATATCTTGGCGTCAGACGGAAACCTATTCGTGCGGGCGGGTCCACGGAGTTAGCTGCCTGCAACCCGCCAGTCCCGACAGGTCGAATAAAGGGTCTGCCACCGATGAGTTGGGGTTTAGGCAACCCGAGTGCCTGGGTCTGACTTTTGTTTGATGAGTTTTTAGTGGACATCTGATACCTAAAATCATTTATATCATACACCCACATCTTTTGAGGGGAGCCAACCACAACTCCTCCCATGGCCTCCCGTTGGGGCCCCGTCGAGAGCGGCTCAGGTCGCATCTCCGCCTCGAAGTCGCCTCAAACCCGCCGAGAGGGTTTGCGGCGTGCGAGGCGAGATGGGGCCCAACTGGGCACAAGCAAAGCAAAACATCCCATCGAATGGTCCCAGAAAACGCCTTGCAGTTTTCTTCCAGTTGGCAAGACTTGAGAAAGATCGATCGGAAGGGCGCGCGTTGCGGCACGGGCGCTCGTCTCACCCGGCCTTCCTCGTCTTCGCGAAAGTGGCTCTTGCAGAACCTTGAGGGGTCCTGACAGACGGCATTAGGAAATGCATGCTCTTTGAATTCAAAGCACCAGATACGATTGCTTTGTTTTCTGTTGGCCATGGCCTAGATGTACACACAATACCTCCAAAGCTCGAGTGAGGAACAGGCAGTGCAGTTGAGCGAGTTCCGGTGCAGTGTTTTTATCCGCTGAGCGTTTCCGCCCCGGCGGCTCCTCCATGAAGGACATGTCTATTGCCGCCACCACCATCTCCGCCTCGGCCAGGAGCAAAGCGCCAAGAGCCGGGCTGCTCCAAAAACTCGGCCAAAGGCTAGAAAGCTGGCCCCAAAGGGAAAACACAAGGACCCCCAACAAAGCAGGTTGGCCATTGTTTTCAAGGTGCAGGGCGCAATCCTGAGGAATGTGTCCGCAAGCTCAAGCACAAACAATCAAGGCAAGAGTTGCGGCAGGCCAGGGGCCAAAGAACAGTAAAACGTTCAGGACAACATCTGCCGTGAACAGCACATGTTTGAATGCTTCAGCGAGACCTAGTGAGACAACTCAACTAGCGGGTGCAGTTGGCGTGATAAGTTGCGGGTCTCGTGCCGGCTCTTTGTCGAATAGTGACCAAGGTGGGGATCAACCATGCTATCTGCCAAAGACAGGTTTGCTCGTGGCAAAGCGTGCCGCAGTCAGCTGCTCGAACATCGCAACATGTCTGTTAGGTACCCAAGGCAAGGATGCCTTCAAAACATGTCGCCACTGGGTGACAAACCCCGGCAGGCGAGCTTCTGGGACCCTGAGATGGCGTTTCCGTTATACATCCAAGCGTACCGGACCAGGCGGGAAGCTGAAGCTGCAAACGCGACGCGTTTGACAAGGCGAGACCTTGCTGCAGAGCACAGGCAATGAAGCTGGGGCAGCGAATGAACCCTTCGATCATTTCTTGGCATGGTTCGGGGTGTTCGACAGGTTGCTGGTTGTCCGTAAGAAATAGAGCTTAATGACTTGTGTTCATAGCCTCTGCATCCTGTGCTCATTACTGCAGCAATAATGCAATATGAAAATATATATGAACTTGTGTACTTGTGTACTTGTACTTGCACGCATGTGTTTTTGTTTAATACTGGCAAATGTAGGGCAGCTTGCTTTGAGAGGCAAATACATTCAACTAACTCGGGCCGCAAAATGCCAAGTTCCGAGCCAAAACTCAACATGGGCCTCAGGCCCTGTCTGCACAGAGTCTGGGCTGCCCCCACAAGAGCTGCTTGCTTCAGCCCCTTCCAATTTCCAGCCACTATCTCGGCTGCAAGATGGCTGCAAGCACGCCAAGCACAGGATACAGTGGGGTGAAAGTAGATCGCACATGGCCCATGCTGGAAAATCATGAGCAACTTGTGCTTTCTAAACGTGCCTGGGGAGATGCGACAAAACAAGGGGCCCTTGTTGAACTTTGAAAGGCTGGGTGCATGTGGCTTAGCACATTCCCAGGACAAGTCAATGACCAGGACTACCCAAAGGCGAAATGCAAAGTCTGGTCCAGACTCAAGGCTAAACCTGGCAACAACCGGCTGAAACTGCTGGCAGCAGGTTTGCCATGGCTTCGTGCATTCGGGTCAAACTCATTTATATTGAAGTGCGCCCCACAGGTTCGCAAACATGAACTTGGGAAACACACAGACCGCAACTTGGCAGCTTCGGTGGTTTCCTTACACGGGGGGCCATCCCTGGGAGATGCAAATCCGCGAAGGGATACTGTGCAAGTTGGGCAACTCATTGATCCTCTCTGTACTCAACGCCAGGTATTTGAATGCATGTTTCTCCTGCTGGCATATTACAACGTATTGCCACAAGTCCCTGAACCAAGGCATATCCACCCAAATACATTACTTGGGGAGAGAAACACTCGTGGTCATCACCTCCGGACGGTCCCGGGTGGCAAAAGCACAGCGCCCAGCCCCGGTGCCCGCGCTTTTCATCCCACTGCGAGAGTCATTTGGCCAACGAGAATTATTGGTACACCGGGTTGCCCTGGCGAGACCAAACAACCAAAACCCAACAAGCGAAATAATTAACGCAAACAGCAACCAAAGCTGGGATGCCACCTGAACTGATTCCTCAGAGGCACCAGCCTTCTCAAAGCAACCCGTGGCAGCACGGCGGATTCCCCGAGAAATGCAGGGTGGATCTTGTAGCGGGCCAATTTTGGAAATACCGCGGCCAAGCTGCGAGTTGGGATTCGCTGCGACATTGGTGGCTTCCCTTACCCTCCAGATTTATCATGGCGATGGATGGTTCCTCTAACGCCGACGAGGTTGACCGTCCTGAACCGCAAATATAACTGAAAGCTGCAACTGACTGTTTGTGCGCTGAACAAGTATGGTTTACCTTGAGCTAACAGCCCCAAAATGCAAGTTGTCCCTCTAGCTTCCCTTTCAAACGAGCCCAACAAAGGTACTCTCAAATACAAAAACACGCACCCATGGTCGCCCATATTGATCTTGCTTCTGGTTGTCTCAGCTCGCTGAGGGATTGGGCGGTTCATGGAGGAAACAAAACTCACCACTAGAAACGCATCTGCCAAGTAAGCTCGGATTAGGCACACCTGGTCTGGTTAACTGGCTGTATTTCACTGGGGTACGCCCAAATGAGCTACAGGCCCAACTAAAAAGTCGCATACCCCTATCAAATCACCAGGAACTACCCGAATAGCCAAAAATGCAGGTTCCCAGCAACGGATATCTCAATCCTCCCTCCGACGGATTTTTGTTCTTCCCGCCCCTCGAAATCAGCCTCACTCGCCCACCACAGCCCATACGAAAACCCTTGACGTCAGCCCCGGCTCACGGAGATTCCAACGAGGCACTGGAGCTCCTTTTTCTTCCCGCCAACCGCCCCTCTGGGACGCCTCCCGCAAGCGCCGGAAGCGCCGGAAGCGCCCCAGCAGCGCAGGGCTCGGCTCAAGGCTCTCGGCTCCGAAGGCCAGGGCCTCGGGGCATTTTCAGTCTGGGAACCGCCCATGTTGGCACCCGGAGACTCGTCCGGTGCGAAGCTGCAACAATCCATCCGATTATCCGGCTCGGGGTGAAAAAAGCTCGTCCGAATGTGCGGTTGGTGCATCTGCGATGCTTTCCAAACGGAAACTCCAAGCAGGGTCCAGGACTAAAGCCAGCTGGGACGCTGGCGATGCGCCTTTGCGCATCATCTCTGCCTGGCGCCATGATGTGCCGATGTGCCGTGGTTGACAGGTCCGAAACGATTGAAACAATCACCCTGCGACTCCTGCGATTCCTTGAATATGTCTCAACTTTGATGACACTACAACAGCCCCCAAGATTCCTCCCCCAATGGCGGACATGTTCTCTGCAAACTTTTTTGGTCATGCGCTTGGTCGTCGAAGCTGCACTACCAACGTGGTTTTGTGGCAGCTGCTGAGCTGTTTAGCCAACCTGCGTCCAGCCAGCCGGGGCTTTGAAAGGCAGAAAAGAAGCCCCGTGCAACCGCTTCAGCCACATTCGCCACTTAACCCCCAAGGTTGATCTAACTCAAGCATGACGGGCAGACCCATCTTGATATGCCTCAGCCACAGCGAGCAAATTGCCCATCCACAATATCAAGGGTCGTCTGCGGCCAATGGCGCATCCTCAAGGCTACCAGTAAATGGTGGGTAAATCAGCCCGAAGATCAACAAGCAAGCATCCTGCATATTCGCGCATCTCAAGAGCTTTTCACATGGCCTCAAGAACTACACAGACGCAACGCCCAAGTGCGGGGCTGTCCTTTGGGAGGCCGGTGCCTTTTCTTTTGTCTTTCTTTTTTTGGGCGGGGAGGGCATGCATTTTGGGATGCCTCTTGGGGGATGTGCTCGTTAGGCGACGTCCTTCAAGGGATCTCTTTGAGGATATCTTTTGGGATGTCTTTGAAAGTGCGTCTTTGGCGATGTTCTCTGCGGGGATCTTTGGGAACTTCTTGTAGGCATGCCTTGGGAGGGCCTTGTCTTTGGATGTCGTAGGGTGTGTCTTTCCGGATGTCCTTGTTTGGGCTTTGGGAAAGTGGACGCTTTTGTCCTGCGGGATGAGAATGTCTTTAAGGATGGGCCTTGGGACTATCTTTGGGTGTCTTTGGCGGTGTCTCTTTGCGGGCTTGTTCTTCACAAATTGCGTGGGGAATGTCTGAGGTGCGTGGCTTCTATTTCTCTTCTGAGTGAGGTCTGCTTTGCCGAAAACACATAGCTTTGCTGATTGTTGGTTGCCCTTGACAATTGGTAACAACCAGCACAACGGAGAGGGGGGAACCCAGTTGCAATACATGAGCAAGATACGGGAAATAGGCCCCACGTTCGACACGATGCCCCAGATTTCACTCATGACATGAAGCCTTAAAAACCCTTGAGTCGGTTGTCTCGCATCCTGGGGATGCGTCGAAACTGGGAGGTTCCAAAATGGTTGATTGTCATGTTGGTTTCACATTAAAGCCATCCCAAAACGGGCCAGTCTGGACACATCCCCACAGCTTTTCTGGGCCGCTGCGGCATCTTTTTGCCAAATGACTTGCGCCGGTAAATGATGAGACGAACCCTGTAACAATGAAAATACTGGAGAAGATGCAGTTATTGCCTTTAACATTCATGCACTTAGTGAAAGCCCAACCTGAAAGTGGTGCAACTCATTTTGCAAACTGACCCAAAACTGACCCCATCAGTATCCATCAGTCAAAACCGACCAAACAAAAAGAAGAAGACGAAAACACGGCCGACTTCGGTGAGAGACTCGCTTTCGTTGGAGCCCCCGGCACGGGGTGCCCGGAGGTGCGGCGGCAGCGTCACCCTGATTCCAAGGCCAAGTGGGGCGACGAAGATGTTTCTTCGGGCAGGTCGGGTGAGAAATTATCTAAAAAAAAAAAAAACAAGCTCAGGTGATATCCCCAACAGCATGCGGTGCTCTTTTTAGTACTCTCACCACCCCGCAGCCCTCGCAGAACCTCGTGGAACCCTGGTGGAAATTTGGTGGAACCCTGGTGGAACCCTGGTGGAACCCTCGTGGAACCTTACCTCAGGGCTGCCCCGGACCACCCCGCAGCCTATCTGGGCTGAGACCCCAAAGCTTTCAGCTAGCTGTTGGGTAATAAACGCGTTCCGCGTGTTTTAGTAGGCCATGTTGCTTGGCCATGTTGGTCAATCCGCCCCATGGTTGTTTGAAAGGAAAAATGGGCAAGGGAAGTCATCCGCCAATGGTTGTTGAAAAGGCAAACTGGCCAAGGGATGTCCGGGAGAAACCCGCATATGACCAGAGTTGTGTGGGTGGATGCAGTGAGCTTCGGACCATTCTGGGGTCAATTCGCTGGGTGGGACCCACAAACGGACACTGGCGGTGCCGCTTTGAACTGCCACCAGCGATGGGTCCCAATGAAGAGAATGGAAAAGGACAAACTCGGATACCATTGTCTGCACAGGGTCAGCTAAGATAACCAAGAGCAGACGCATTCTGGACTCACTATTCAGTGGCGAGCTGGCTGCAACATCTGCCGTCAGCGAGTGCTGCTGCGTGCTGTGTTCTGCGTGCTGCGTGCTGCGTGCTGCGCGCACCTCTTGAGCGTGCAAGGCGACACTCACGAGGCCATGTCCCCAACATGCCTGGTCAAAGCATGCGCTTCCCGCAATGGACTTGGGAAAACTAACGAGTCCCATTGGTTTGTTCGACATGTCCATCTCCAATTGACCATGGACTGCTGGATGCTCTGACCAAACCTCACATTATGTGCCAATTAGTGGGGAGTTCTGGTCGCGGCCCCTTCACAGAAAGCCTTTCCCTTCGTGTCCGAATCCGCTGGGCTGCCTACGTCCATCCCTTCGCTTGACCCAGCCTGCCAGCCGCCTCCACCAGCGCCTTCTCCATCTTGTTGGGCGCCGCCTTGATCGGAGGCGGTAAAAAGTGGGGTCCGCTGCTCCATGCTTCCAGTCACCACAAAAGCAAGAATGGAGCTGGAAATGGAATTCCAGGGTTCACCCCCGCCACCTCCCCCATTTCAAGGAGTTGTGTGTGGTCAAAAGTACTCATGTGGGCCATGGTCATCCACTCACTAACGGATTTTCTGGAGCCAACACAAACAGAAAGCGCCACATGGGTAAGCCTTGCACAAGAGACCCACTTCAGTGAGACTCTGAGCTCCACTAACATGAGCCCATGTCGAGCTACACTAATCACCCTTGAAGCCTCAGCTCAGGTGCTTCTGTCCGAGATGCGTCCATGTAAGTGTTCCCAAACATTGCCCACCCCCCCCGCCCCGCCCGCCGCCGAAAACAACGTGTTTTCCTCTTGTTCCTCCTTCTACCGATGTGTTGTTGGACCTCTGCTGAACTTGGCTCCCCGCTGGCTCGTAGCGGTTCTGCTTCGACACCTTTCCTCGGCGCTCCACGGTGGGTTGGCCTCAGTTCAAGCAAACTGGGCACCACGATCCATCCAGAACCCCACCACTCGCTAGACGCGCTCGCACCAAGTTACCTGAGATCAAGGGAAAACATAAAGCCCAAAAAGAGGTGCTTCTTCTGGCTTCGCCAGGCTCTTGTGAGACTCTTGTGCCTCATGTGACAGGCTTACGATAGGGAACCCTCCCTGCGACCCTGAAGACCATCCTGACCAAAACACCTTCACGTCTTTGGGTTTCGAAACCTGTGGATACTCAGGCCCAACACCTTCGCCCCCAAAGTGGTGCTACATTCTTCGAAGAAACTACCTACCTTGCGGTGCGTGCGCTTCCCAGAGGCGCCATGGCAATGTAGGCCACGTAGTTCTGAATTCTTGCGCTGTCCGCGTTACTCCAAACTTTGGCACCTGTTGAATTGTATTTCAGAAAATGTTTCTTCTGAAAGCGAAGCAACACGGTCTAGGATTGCCTCCGAGTTTCTGCTCTTTTCTACAGGAGCTTCCATCTCCAAAGTCAAAAGCTGGCCAAAATAATATCGCAGGGCAACGTTTAGAATTGCCTGCAACCTTGTAAGCTGAAATGATGTTGGCATTGACCACGTTTATAATATGGTTTCAAGCACATTCGCTCTTGAGTTCTCCATGTAAGTTTCGTCCTTTGCTGATTACGAAACTCAGCGCTTTCAGGACCAGAGCCCCACAAGGATTCAAGATTCCGGGTTTTCAGAATTTGAACCTTGTGCCCTCTACCCTAACGAATTCGAGTGCCTTTACAATAGTTCTAGTCTCACTCTGAAGTGCTTTAAAATGCAAGACGCCTCCCAAACAAGTGAATGTGTAGGATCTTGGACCTCTGATAACTAGACCTGTTCTAATGATTCAATCTAGATTGTCAGAGCCGCAAAGGCGCAGGTGCCCGGACCCTACACCTTCACTTGTCTGGGAGATCATGACTCTTGAAACACCTCAGAGTCTAGATCGATCTAAATATACTTTGGAGTTGGAGCCATGCTGTCCACAATCAATTGCGGTAAATACCAGTAACATAGGCCTTGGTCCATTGGGGCAACTACATTATGTCAAGAACATACAATGTATAAATACGTGCGGTGCAGGTACGTCCCCGCAAAAATCCGCCGACCCTCTGCCTCCCGTCCCAGCCTCCTGCAGAGGGGACCGGCGTGGGATGCAACTGGAAGTGATTGGAATCAATGATAGTCCCTGGGGGACACGCCCGAACCCACAAAAAGTGGATTCCCAGGACCGGTCCCGGGACCGGTCCCGGGACCGGTCCTGGGACCAGTCCTGGGACCAGTCCTGGGACCAGTCCTGGGACTGGTCCTGGGACCCTGGTTCTGCTGTTTTGGATTACTTGTAGTCAGCCAAAACCGGTCCTGGGACCGGTCCCAGGACCGGTCCCGGACCAGTCCCAGGACCGGTCCTGGGACCAGTCCTGGGACTGGTCCTGGGACTGGTCCCAGGACCAGTCCCAGGGGTTTGGTCCTGGGACTGGTGAGGACCAGTCCTGGGACCAGTCCTGGGACCAGTCCTGGGACCGGTCCAGCGGTTTGGTCCTGGGACTGGTCCCAGGACCGGTCCTGGGACTGGTCCTGGGACCGGTCCCAGGACCAGTCCTGGGACCGGTCTGGGAAGCCGGTCCGGGATCGAGTCCTGGTGTGACCGCTGGTCTTGGGTCCCAATTCAATATGCTGTGCTGCCTCAAACCGCTCCAGACACCTTTCCGGACTGGCACCCATGACCCTGCGACCAAGCCGGCCCGTGCGGTTGTTGACGTCCTTGTGGTAGTAGAGGATCCCATCTATTCTGCAAGAGAGTCCAATACGTCAAGTCAAACCGCGCCAGACTGGGACCAGCCTGGACAGGGTCCCAAGTCCCGGTCCCTGCCGGCGACCGGTCCAGGGCAACTTCGGGAGGGCCAGTTTCAGGGCGACCCCGGGAGAGGCGACTGCTCCCGGCCAACTCGAAGTGACTTGGGCGCAAGCCGGCCCAAGCGGTAATTAACGGACTAGCTGCCCTATTTCTGACTTTTCCGTTAATCCTTGTTTCTGGTCAACTTCGGGAGGGCCAGTTTCAGGGCGACCCCGGGAGAGGCGACTGCTCCCGGGCCAACTCGAAGTGACTTGGGCGCAAGCCGGCCCAAGCGGTAATTAACGGACTAGCTGCCCTATTTCTGACTTTTCCGTTAATCCTTGTTTGTGGTCGTAGAGGATCTTATAAGTGGTCCCTGGGTTTGCGGACGTGTTTCAGGACCGGTCCTTGTGACTTTTCCCTTAATGCGCCGAGGGTCGGCGGCAGCAGGCGGGAGCCTGGTTAATAGGGTATATATATATATATAGATGAAAAGACGTCGCCGGCATTTGCGGTGCCCTCTCTAAGCGGGTCACTCTTTGCAGAAAGGGTTCGCCACAATGAGAAACCAGGCACTGTTCATGGCATCTCTGACCTTCCACGTGTCTCAAAGCAGATCCCCCATGATGTTGGGCTGGTGTTCAAAGGACAACACAAGACTCAGCTTCCCCTAATTGGTGGTTTCCATTGGCGGTTTGGTCAAGGAGGGCTTTCCCATTTACCCTACAAGAACCAAGGCCCCAGATCCGAATCAAAACCCATCCAAGCCACCCACCCATCCAAACCTCCAAGGGGTTGAAAGACTGCCAACGTTTCTCGCGCGCGGGCGGAACAAAGCAAATCGAAGGCAAATCGAGGGGCTCTCGAAGCGCTGGAGGGCCGCCATGATGGCCATGGCCCTGGCCTGGTCCGACTCTGACAATCAAACAGTTGTAGAAAAAACGTGTCCCAAAAACACCATCAGAATCTCTGTTTTGTTTGACAAGTGTACCACAAACACCATCAAACCTGTGTTGTGTTGTTACAAAACACACGTGCGTGCGCGTGCGCGTGCGCGTGTGCGTGTGCGGGTGGTGCGTGTGCGTGTGCGTGCGCGTGCGCGTGCGGGTGCGGGTGCGCGTGTGCGGGTGCGTGTGGGTGTGGGTGTGTGTGTGTGTGTTTTGTTAAACAATGTGCCAAAAGCATGTGCCCAAGACCATGTAGAGAATCAAAAGGCCCGCCGCGCATACTTCTGGTGACTGTCCCTTACCCTTCAACTACCCGGTGTTTGATTGTGGCTCACGTAAGAGCGTGTGGCTCTTAGAGTGCGTTTGCTTTCAGAGACGCGACTCCGCCGTTCACGGGATGGTCCGAAAGAAAGGAAACTAGGTGTGTGACACCAGCTTGTTATTTTGGATGCTGGCAAAACTTGGAAACCCAGTCCTGGCGGTTTGGTTGAGAGAGGCCAAGGCAAGGAAAGCAGGTGTGAAAAGATGCAGGTTGCCTCATGCTAGGTAAACAGCATTAAAGAGGAAAATCATGACTCACCTGGCGAATTCAGCAAATGCAGGACACTCGTTGACAAACTACATCACCAACTTACCGAACCCAACTCGGCAGAACCGAAGTTCGGCGCCTCGTCTCTCAGCCAGGCTTTCTCCACTTCCCAGGCGCGGCTTACAACCTGGCGGGGCCGCGTTTTGATTCGGTCCCTGGTACTTCCAAGGCCCAGCCCATCCTAGCACGAGAGGATTCACCAATTTTAGGTCGGACGCCACAGAACGAAAAAGGAAAAAAGGTGCGCAACTGCTGCTATGAACGCCGCATTCAACACCTACTTGTGGACTCAAGCAGGATGCCTTGCCACAGGTTGGATTTTATCGTGATACAGCATGGCTCTGAGCCAACGACTGCTTCATCAGCTGGTTTCAACATAAGTCTGGCCTTTTTTCCTTTATCGCGCCCGCGTTCACAACTCCAAATCATTCATAGTTGCGCCCCATATTCAGTTGACCCGCGGCTCAAGGCATGCTGGTTGGAGTGCTTTCTTGGGTGGTGTTGGATTTCAAAACATTGCGGATTTAAACTAATTTCCATATCCAATCCGTGACTTAAGCCCTGTTCCTGTGTCTGTGCCCCTGATCGGAGCACATGCCAGAACCAGGCACGATTGGCAGCTTGTTTCCATTTTTGGGCAGCAGTGAAAACAATGTGAAGCCAGGCTGCAGCCTGCCACTCGCTAGGCCCAAGCACAGCCTTGTCAGTCTGTTCCAGAAAACCCCGACACACACGAAGTCTATGAAAGTGGCCCCGGCCATGAACGGGTCGCCTGAGCCAACCCCCTTTCAAAACCAAAACACTGCTTGGGCACGCTGCCCAGATGAAAATGGGGGTGAACTTTTTTCGGGCTACAAAACACTAAGCTCACCTGCAGATTCACCTTGTGCAGGGGCCAAAATCCTTAAGTGCGCCCGGCCCTGAATTCAAGCTAATTGACCCCGTGCTTAAGGAGTTCTTGGCTGCGCTTAAGGAATTGCATCTCAGGGAACTGGACTGCCTTCCGGCGTCGCTCGGCGACTATGTGTAGTGAAAAGCTGTGTGCTGCGTGCTTCAACTACCCAAATCCAGTTCACACAGCAGCTGTGATGACGCAGCAGTTTACGGAAAGCTGACTCCTGGTCCTAGGGCGCTGAGTGTTGAAAAGCACATTGTCTGGTCTGAGCAAAACATTGCAAACAACTGGTGACCTGCGTGTGCCACCACCTCGCAAACCAGCGGTCAGTCTGTCCATGGGTACATCAATCAGTCAGTGTGTTGTCGCAGCCACACCACGTCAATGTCCTGCGGCCGCCGCATTGGGAGCCCGCCAGAAAATACAGCCGAATGCGTTTGCCAACGTCATGCGGCCCCTTCGAAAATACCCACCGCCAATCCATGCGTTCAGGATTGTCAGACTGTCACCTCCGCGAAATCACTCACAATTGGAATATGTGCGATCTGAGTCAGAAATTCCAAGCCAAGGCGGTTTATCAGGCGTGCGCGGAATCGTTCGCGGTATGCTAATTCTACCCCATGTGCGATCTGAGTCAGAAAAGCCCGAAACAAGGCCCGTTCACGAGGTGTGTCTCTCAAACGCTCCAACGAGGAAATACCATCAAGTGCCTCTTTTGCATTGTTCCAAAAAGGCATCTTCGGTTTGTTCAGCTGCAAATTTACCCAATGTTGAAAACCATTGGGTCTCAGCAACCCTGCGAACAGCCCCACCTTTAAGTACACGGGCCCCCCCTTAAATCCATAATTTTGAAAGCCACTGGCTGGGGCTAGGTCTGAATCATAGATCCCACCACGGAGCACATCCTCTGCGAGGCCCGGGACCCGTCCCACTGAGCCCTGGCAGCCTGGCCACAGCGGCAAGTCTCCACACAACGGCCCGGAGGCTGCGTGTCCCCGGGCGGCACCTGGCTTCGGCTTTGGAGGTGCCAGGTGAGGTGCTGGAAGGAATTCCTTCCAAACACATATCAAACGGACACATGTAGATCCTGAGCAGGAGCTTCATGATCAAAAACCACAAGCATGCATCTTTGAAGGCACCCTGCTTAGAAACAAACAAGCAAGCAAAGACACCAGCCAGCAAGCAACTACAAACAAAGCAAAGCAAGGCAAGGCAAGAAACAGGCAAAACAAGCCAAGCCAGCGAGCAAGCATGCGTACCCTGAGACGCGGCGCCTACCAGCAAACCGTCTCCAAAGACACGGGGCAAACGCGCCTGCCTACTGCAGGCTCTCCTTGATCTTCGCAAGTCTTTTGAAACCACAACGCCGTGACCCAAGTGAAAACATCCATTTTGATGGGGGTCCCGACTGAAGACACACACACACGCACACACCCATGTGACTCTGCAATGCCTCCTTTGGTGGGTTTCCATTCACGGAGTTGCCAGTTTACAATGTGAATCGGCAGCCGCGACAGTTCAATGGTCCAGTTCCAAAATCCAGAGACTGAAAGGCTGGCGGCTGTCTCATTGGTCAGCGGCCGACCCATTTAGCCATGTAAACATTCTGTGTTTAGCACTGACAAATGCTTAGACCATGCACCAAGTTGAAATGACATGTTGCGGCACATGCTTGCGGGCAGGGCAAGTACAAGCTCTTGATGTGTCTGCCACCATCTATCTATCGTGCGCCTTAAACAACAGTTTGCCTGTGGCAAAAATACTAATACGAATGCAAGTATTTTTGTTTCATGCTCACAACATGATGCCATGATGCCTGCTTGTAGACGTCTACCATTGGCGGCTTGCATTGTGTTGTGGGGATTTATCTGAAATGGTGAGCGATGTTGAATGGATAACTTGTTGAACGGATAACTTGGCGTGTCCCACTGATAGGAAGTGAACACTACAACGCCCCACCCTCCACAAATGAATCAAGCGGAGGTCCTTCCTTATCCGAAGTCAAATCCTATAGTGAAGCCCACGTTCATCCCCGTCCAATCCATGGTTCCCAGAACTCAAGCAGTGCAACGAAGCCAGAGCGGTCTGGCCTGGATCTGCGCATTTTTGGGCGGCTCGCCTGGAGATCTGTGGCAGGGCAAGTAGGGGGTTTAGCAGCGGGGCCTCCTCATTAGGAAGCGAGCTGAACAGGAATTTGCCCATGGGAACGAAAGGCAATCAAGAAAATTTCCTGGGGAGGGGTAACAAGGAGCTTCCCGAGCGGAATGAGGGGTGAGGGGTAGGAAGAAGCTCATCTGTGCGAATCTTGGGGTGAGTGATCCAACCAGCCCCTTGACTCGAGACAGTGTCACCTCATCCAGCAAAATCAAACAGCAACTCTGGTGAACTCGGCGTTCCAATTACCAAGACTCACCTTCAACATGGCGGGAGGTATATAATTATTGACATGATGCCATTAATTACCCCCCCCCCCCCGGTTTCAGGGGGGCTGCCCCGCTCTTTTTGGGCTTTGAACCACCCTTTTTGAGGTGGTTGACTGGCAAAAAACGCCTCTTTGCTTGCCCCCAAGTCGCTCAGCCGTCTGCCGTGTGGGCCTCCTCTGACCCATCCGCCGCCGTCGCCAATCCAGCCTGCGCCCAATGATGGGTGGATAAAACTCACCCCAAAGCATGAGAACGGTTTGTGTACATACATACATGTCTCTCTCTCTATATATATATATGTATATATTATAGACATATATGCATGCACATGTGTATGCATGAGTGCATCATATGCATATATATATATATATATATGTACATTTTATACATTATATATATATATGTATAAATAGTATAATATATATATAGCGTCAATATTACTTGTATGGGGTGTAGTCATTCCGACGTAACGGCGCCCCGAATTGCGGTTCATGTGTTTTCTCGGTTTGGGCAACCCGCAACCCTTGTGAAACACTCCTACATAAAGTAAATGACGGTACTTTTGAAGCTGACTCATATATAAAATTATATGATATGATATGATATGATATGATATGATATGATATGATATATGATGATATAATATAATATGACATAATATGAAATAATATAGTATAATATAATATGACATGATATGATCTAATACAATATATCATAATAATATAATACAATACAATATAATATAATATTATATAATATAATATGACATGGTATGATCTAATACAATACATCATAGTAATATAATATAATACACCAAACTATACTATAATACAACATAAGATGATATGACATGATATAATATGATACACACTATATAGTATATAATACACTATACTATGATATATTACGGTATAATATAAGATGCAATATTATACTATAATATATAATATAACATATGATGTGATACAATGTACTATAGTATAGTATAGCATAATATAATATAATAATGATATATATAAAAATATAGAGATCCATACCTTGTGTGCGTGTGTGGTTATGTTTGATTCGAGCTCACCCCACTCGCTTCGAAAATGCCAGGCCAGGTGTCCAAGCATCGAGGAAACGAGTGCTGACATCCAACCCAGGATTGATGTTGGGTTGTCTCGTGCTTTACGGCGGACTGCCCACCAGTTGTTCGCTTGACAGCCCTGGCAACCATTCTTGTGAGATTCCAAGGCTGAACAGGCAGGGTGCGAGGGTAGTGTGCTGAAAAGGCAACATGCTCCGAATGCCTGGAAGTTCAAAGCATGATTACAACTTACAACTCTGTGGGCTATTGTCATGGCCGCATTGCTTCTGTAAGCCAATCCTTCAAAGGGGTTGTCTAAACCGTGTTCATGGCTTGTTGGCTCTTCCTTACCATTCAAAATGAAACGCACGGAGCTGGATGGTAGCTGGATGGGGACCCTTGCTTGGTCAAAAAAGACCCCGATTGAATCTAGGCAAATGACAACAGCAAAACGTCACACCCCTCGTCCTGCATTGTCAAGGCCCTCCACTCAAATCAAGGCTCGCGCCTGGAACCCTCTCGTGGGGCTTGGAGGACGGCATGTCGGCTTGCCTGCAAGGTCAAATACTCAAGCTTCTCAAATTAAGAAGTCTCCACATCAATCTGACAGCTCAAGCTACTCCAGAAGCGGTGAACTGGGTCCGTCCATGTGGGTCCGTCCATGTCGGCACCCATGCTTTAAGGTGATACCTAGCAACGCAGATGGTATATTGCCGAAAACGACCTTGAACGGGGTCTTTATTCAAGAGGCACTTCCCCATCACCATCCATCCCTATCCGTCACAATCCAGCACTATCCGTCACGATCCATGATTGTCCATCACTATCCTTCACATCTGAAAAACTTTGGGGATCCAGCACTCTTGAGAACTGCTTATCCTTTAGATCCATCAATAACCAGGTGGTCAAAATGATATGACGCACAGTTAGCCTGTGCCAAGCCGGCGACATCGTCCCAGCCTCCATGGCTCCGGCACACCTCCTCGCTTGCTGGACACTCGTCGACAAAGTCCCGCCACCCCCCTTGGAACGAAACAAACCCTCTTCACAAGCCTCCATAGCCTCAGGGCTGGTCTACTGGTTGTTTGCCGCAGCGCTAGCACAGCACCACACTAACTACCTCATCTTCAAGTCTTAAACTGCCGGCAGAAACCAACAGCATCCGACGCTCCAAAGCGACTCTTCTACACCCTTTCCCAATTTGGAGGTGCAGAAGCAAGAAGGCAGCTCAAGGGGCACGGGTTCCAACCAACTCCCACGCCCACTGGCCTGCACTGCCCTGCCGCGAAGGCAAGCCTCGGTCGGTTTTGATGGTACCCGTGCAGGTCGATGTAAAGGAAAACCAAAAGGAAACCACCCTTCCGTGTCCAGCAATTCGAGACAACTCCACAAATTGGTGAGGGTACCTGGTCTTTAAGCAAACCAAACAAAAGACACCCAATTTGGGGTTCCAGCATGAGTTAAACAATGGGACTGACAGGATCAAGGAACACCTTGTTGCCACGCAATGACCGACCGGCACGTGACAGGGGCCAAAGGATTTTATGCAAAACGATCCTCCCACCATATGTGAACTCCTAAGAGCCCAAGGTGCAGCCAGAATTGTTGCAGGGGAATAATTCTGCCAAAGTCACTGACGGAATCGAAATGGGGCTGCAACACCGCGAGGCTAAGGCGCCCGGCTGGCAGCGCGGGGGGTGTAGACGGGGTCCTGGGCGCTACCAATTTGCAGTCCTGTGGTATAGTCTGAGAAAAGTCCGACTCAGAGGTAGCTTCCTTGGTGAAAGAAAACGATCAATCGTTGGGGGGGGGGGCTCTGACTGGTCGGGTCCTCTGGATTCATCCAAGTTAACATTATGTCGGGATGGGGTTGCGATGGGATCACGGGACGGCACCAACGTTCCCCACATTCCAAAAGGCTGGCGCGGAGCACATCAGTGAAACCCGCAATTATCCAACGAGAAGGCTCAAACAAGAGGAGAAGATCATCTTTGCTGCAACCTCTGACCTTGTCGCAGGTTGTATGCCCACTGAGTCAAAGAAACTGCTGCAACGAATTCCTTGTCTTACAGGGCTATAAACTGCTTAAGTGTCATCCGTCAAAAGCACTCGGGGCGTAGATGCTTTTCAACATCATCCTCGCCAGTTTGGTCAGGTGGCATTCGGCTGCACCTTTCTACTCTTTGCAACTCGTGGGGCAGACTGAGAAATGCGTTTCCAACTTGCCGGTCTGACCTCACGTGTAACTCAACACCAAACGAGAGGAGAGGACGAGCAGTCACCGCCCGGCCAACAGCTTCTCCGTACGCCTCACATACAGGCATGGTACCGAGACTCGGCTCCCTGAAAGCGTCCCCTCAAAGCTCATGTCCCTGTGTCTCCGGGACTTCTCAAGACACGGTCCAATGGCAGGTGGGTGACCACAACCATGGTGGTGAAATATGGTGACTGAAAATGCAAGTGTCCTCCTTTTTCAGGACCTAGCTGGGAACGCGTCAAGACCGGGGACCCTTTGGGACCCTTTTCGAGATGAAGCTCCAGGCAGGCGCGCAGCTCGGTCTGGGCTCCCCAGGCGATGATCCGCTCCGAGGGCAAGCGACGGAGGTTGGAGCCTGGCGGGAGACCTGAAGCAAGCGGCACTTCCATCCGCCTGCCCCAAAGTTGGTGATGCCTATGAAAACAAAGGGATGCCAGAACGAGAGCAGCGGAAAGGCAAAAACGGCCTCGCAGATCTTTGCACTTGAGATGTCTTGCTAGATAGTCACCAAAAGGTCGCCAGGCTTGTTGGGGCCAGGATCTTATCACGCGCGTTTGGATTTCGATCGGGGAGCCAATAGAAGAAGAGCGGCTGCTGCAAGAGATGTGCCACTCTCAAAGGCCAAGAAGTTGGCCGCGAGCTGACTCCAAGCAGTAAGGGGTGAGACAAAGGGAACTCATGCCGAGTTGTCAGGTGTTACCTCCTCATGCTTCACAGAAACTGCAAATTGGAGATGCATATGGAATGAGCACGGAAGATGTCCACTTCATTGAAGGTTCAAGTGTTGAAGAGGGCATGTTCATGGACTACAAAGAAATGGCTTCATGCTCCAACTGGATGGAGCAAGAGTGACACAGGCCAAAACAATCCCAGGACTCATGCTGGAAGTGATTCGTGTTGTTAGCATTTTCATGTTTGAGTTGCCCTGGCTAGAGCCAGCACAGCCACCTGGCTTCACCAATCTATACATACATATTAATATATATATATATACATATAGCTGTACACGTGCTGACAAGAGATTGTTTTGACTACAAACATGGATTTACATTGTCAAGGACGCCCACTGTCCTTTGCATGTTGTGCGAGAGATGCCCATGATTCCATACAGCAATGCTCTGAAATCAGTCTTGTGGCTGATCATTGGGGTGAAAGGGGCTGTCCCTCATGCTATTGCGACTCGCCCGGCTGGCTCCTTTCACTGAAACACGCGCCATCCGGGCGATCTAAGCACCAGCAAGAATATGCCAATCGGAGAATCAGAAGCTGTGCCTTCCAAACATCACGGTGTCTGAATCCCAAAGGCTGAGGCTGGAACAGCAATCTGCATCAAAGTTGGGCGTGGCACGTTCAAAGGCATTGTGGCCCTCACTCTTTGTCTATTGATGGCACTTGGTAAATCTAGGATGGTCCCCCAGCCTGCATTTGAATGAGCCCCTTCCAACCTTTCAATACCCCGCATACACAGCAGAGTATGCTGTCAAAATGCTGTGATACAAAAATATAATAACTGGAGAAGCTGCGAAACCATGGAAAATCACCCGAACTACTGCCAATAAGCCGTCCACTAACCACTGGACCATGACTCACGAGCCAACAACATACAAACCATCCCCAGCTAGTTTGACCCAAATGATGTTCAAACCGTGAGAATGCCCACGGAGATTCTGATCGAAAGTTCACACGCGCAGCTCAGGCCCCGGGCCGTTGAAACCGCTCTGCCCTGAGAGATCTCAACGCCACAAGTTGGTATGTTTCTAAGGGTACCCTCAAAATGTATAGAAATATCAACATATGCTGCCCAAAAGCGGTTGGTTCCCTTTTGGCCGTTGACAGCTAGGTCCCTATTTTTCAGACACAAACTGGAGCGCCAAAAAGCAATCGCCCATTGCGCTTCTTGAAAGCTAGCAGCTTTTGGCCTCTCGGCGCGTCAGTGAAAGATGGCGTTACAAATTGCCACGATTCACGAGTTCCAAAACGGAGACTCATTCTGGTGAATGTTCACCTGCAATCTTTGTCTGTCTCCCACATCATCTTTCGGTTCACGACTGTCACAGCTGGGGGTTGAAATGAAATCTTCTCGCACTCCGTCAATTTGAAAGACCCTATGATCTCAGAACGATCCCCAGTCTAAATCAACAAAACTGTGGTCATGATGTCATGGGCGTGGCGGCGCAGGATATGACCTTAGCCACCTGCAACATGGCGAAATTGGTTGACCGTATGCCGTAACCCAATGTTCCGCTTGATAAAATCCACTTCACGATCAATCTGGCAATGTTGCACGCACTATTGGTTTAGAATTGGGTAGTATTGCTGAAGCTAGATTGCAATGTCCTGACTCTCCTTCTTGTTTCCCATGGGATGTGGTTTTGGTCGGTTTGTATTGCACATGTTTCCCCATGTTCTACGAAACAAACTAGAGGAAAATCACCAGAAAATTCGCCAAACACCCTTGCCTCTTGTTTTTGGTGGCTGTTGGCTAATTTACTAGAGATCTTCCTGGCTCTTGCTTCAAAGACTGCCTCCTTTTGGGGAAGGGGGCAAACTAAAAACATGCTCAAGACGGTGGATGAGGTGTTTCGGGAAAAACGGAAATCTCTTGGAGGGGGTTGTGCGAACCGTAGGTTGCACAGAGTTAAGCTCTGCACGACACGAGAACTGAAGTCTCACTCACCAACCTGAAACAAAACAATGGAATGGCCCCAGCTGCAATAAAGTATGAAGTAAAATGCGGTACTGATGGGCCAGAAAAGTGCTGTCCCTAGTCTCTATTTTTTTGTTCTCCAGATAAAGGCGCATCTGGCGGTGAGGCTAGTGCTTGTTCTATTCATTTGTGCGAAGGAACTGAGCGGACCATATTCAGCACGCGCCGGCCTTGTGCAAGAACATGGTCCTGCGCAGCTGAATCTCGCGGTCATCCCTCCCGTGGCGCTTGTTCACGCATTTATTTTGTCTGGGTTGGCTTACAAAGAGACACCAAACGGAAAACCAGCGTTTTGGGGATCCTGCTTCTTTGACAAGCTCTCACTTGATTCAGTGAACAAAATCAAAATGTAAGAGGTGTACGCTATCACCGCTTCTCCATTGAGCGTGAGGTCCATGTCAGTACCATTGTCCAAGTCACCGCCAGGCATGGTTGACGATAAATAGCCCCTGATCACACGAAACTGCTCATGGCCATTCTGAGCACCGTCAAAACTCTATATCCACATTGACATGTGTGCTCCCATAAATCCATTAACATCGGCTAACGGCCGCGCACCCGCCACTCCTGCACAGGAGGCATGCTGTGCGCCTGAGGTCTCCAGGTGCGAGCCCAACTTCCATGAGGCGCTTGTACATAGAACCCGCACGTAGCGCGTTTCAGAATGGATCTTTTCCGGGCGGAAAGGCCAAACTCTGCCAACACATTTTGCAGGGTGCGAGGGGTTTCGGCTTCGGTTGCCTTTGATCCTTCCCACGAGCACACGTGTGCCAGTATGTATGCGGGTATGTGGGGAAGTGCGTACGCGCCAGGCGGGCTGGTCGAGGCTTCCTTTCAGAATCCTTCCCAAACTCCTGAAGATATTTTGCTTGACACCTTACATGTAAAACCGGAACCAAAACAGAAAATGCCTGAAAAATCAGCCCAGTGACAGATAGCTGTCACTTTCTGAATAATAATGGGAAAGGCTCCAAACCTTGCACTCTCTGCAGTGAACCCAAGATTCCTGGCACAAAAGAACACTGCTTGCTGATCAAGTAGTGGACAAATATGGACGTGTCCCAATCAAGACGAGAAGGAATGCGTTTTGCGGTTTCATCGGGCAACCGTATCTCACTGGATCCCCCAACCGCCATCTGCATCATCTGCAGCTGTTGCTCCGCAATCTGCCTGGCAGGAGACCCGTTCCCGCCGGCTGGACACATTTGATAGGTGTTTGGCAAACTTCCTGTAGATCCACCAGCGGCCCCAGGCGAAGTGTTAAGCATCCCTGAGTTGAACATGCCCCGGGTGCAAAAAAAGACAAAAAGCACTGGTCCGTGCATGGCCAGGCATACGCCTTTCAATAGGTGCAATGTGAAGCGTGTTAGCATTGATGCCCACAAACATGTATGTTATCTATACAGTATATATGTAGTATACAAAGAAATACATACATCATACATCTACACAAATACATTTCGAGATGCCTAAAATGCGGGGTTCCTCGACTATTGTTGGATTTAATGCCCCTGAGAGAGGGCCCCTATTTCTGGACAGATCCATATTGACATCATCGTAACAAAATCCTTTGGATGATCATACCGATGATGCCTATTCCATCCGCGTCAATGGTGTTTCCGCCACCGCCAGTAAAGGTCCTTAAAACAGTCTCAGAAGTTTCTAGAATAACCTTCATCAGAGGGTCCGGACGTCTCTCTTGAGTCGAGGGTTTGACAAAAGGCTGTGAAGGCAATCAATGCCTCTACCTTGAACTCCAACAAAGCACTTACTTCCTCTGCCGGTGGAAGCAAGTATTCAAAACTAACGACATGAATCCTCCACATTTACTTTGCGTTTCGAACATGGCCGTCCAAGCAAACTGTTGGAATTATTTTCACTCTTCACACGCCCAGAGCGACTTTTTATCAACCATAGTCCCCTAACAAATGTTGGGTGCCCATTTTTCAACCTTCACACTAGTCCCCCCCAACAAAAATCCTGGATGCCAATTTTTAGGGCTTCCGCGCCTTCCCTTTCAGCACCAACCAGCAGCGAGCGCAAGTCCCTTCGCGCGCGCGTCCGCCCGCGCGGCCGGCCTCTGCTGGTGCTCCGCCTGGAGCTCCAAGGACCGGATCTTGTCCTGGAGACGCCTCCGGAAACAGATCTGGTGACTTGGCGGTTTTGCGCCTGTTCTTTCTGTTTTTTTTTTTCTCCTTTCTTTCCCCCCCCCTGTTGTATAATATATATATATATATATATAAATAATTATATATATTTTTTAAGGGGGGGGTGTTTGTTTTGTTTGTTTGTGTTCTTTTTGGGAGGGGGGGAAACAAAAACATCACTTATAACCGAACCGTGGGGGAAATGAGCTTGAGAACTGAATGGAGTTCCGACGTCCCTTTTGGGGTGTAAGTGTCCGGCTCTTAAACAAGCCCTCCCTCTGAAGAGAGGGTCCTTCAGGTGTGGCCCATGTTGCAAGCCTGCCTAAGTTGGAATCACGGGCAAGGGACTTTCAGCTTGGGGGCTGAAACCAATATTTTGTCACTCACTTGGACCATTTCTTGGGTCGCACCAAGCCGGCAACTGCCGCCTCCCGACCCCTTCTCCAAGTGGCCACAGGCCGGGCACTGGGCGCCCGTACTCCTGGTCCGGCGAGGGCGGACGGGACAGCGCCTGCGCCAGCCGGGCGCCTGCGGGCAGCGCTTCGAATCAGAAAACTGGGACCCAGGCGATTTCAATACAGGGGGTGTGTTTCGGGGATGCATACCCTACTTGAAAACTCTGCAAAAACACATTTGGAACAGTGTTGGTCGATGTTTGTCTTTAAGGGGGTGTGTTTGGGGGATCGAGTTCTTCCGCTCACTTACAAATGTCTCACGACATGATGACGTAGCACCAAAGGTCAGTCAGTTGAACCTCAACAAATGTCGCTTAAATATGTTTCAATATGCGATTGCAATTGGCCCCTCCATTCAGGGCTTGGCAAATAACACCATCAAAGTGACCGATGTTCGATCATGTTCGGAGTCTATCAGCTCAGTCAAGCATTGTAATGATGCCATTGTGCAATGGTCAAGTTTCAACCACTGCTTCCAGTCAAATGAACATGTCCCTACATGTCATCTGTCGGGGAGCCCACCCACCCTGGTCTTGTTCAATACTTCTCTGGTAATGCTTCTGCGAAGGCTATTGCGAATACTTGCTGAACACAATGTCCTTTTTATGTCCTTTTCATGTCATTTTCCTGTTGACAGGGATGGAACCGCAAAGGACCAAAGAGGACGGGCGGTAGAGGGGAGGGAAACTTTTTCAAGAACTGTTTTCTTCTTCACCTTGACAACCTTGAGACGAACCCGAGAACTGTGTCCCCTTTCAGCTGGCAGCAAGGATCGACAAAACCAGATCCGTGGCGCCGGGCTTTGCGAGCGCGGGGACTTCTCCTTGCGCCTGGGAAGGGCAAGAAGGGAAATGAATCGAAGATCGAAAGCTTGAGCTCTCTCTCCAAGAGCTGCCCTTTGGATGCTGTGGCTCGATAAAACGTAATCACATGGCACCTGGGTAGATGGAACCAAAGACTAAGACCTGCGTAACCGGAGCTCTTTGATGTTGAGCCACATGGCAAGACACTAAAACAATGAACAAACAAATCGCACCACTTGTTGACCTTGATTCTGATTCCCAGTGCCAGCACCACGGCTCCGAAAGGGTCCCGTGGCTGCCTTCCCCAGGCATTTGGATCTTGTTCTGTTGCAGAACCAGCTCGAAATGCCCGAAAACGCTGCGCATGTTGAAGCCAAGTCGTTGTCAACTTGTAACCTCTGATATGCAAGTGCATGCAAAGAAGTGCGTGAATCGACGCAGCCTGCCAAGGACTGGTTTGGCTTCCGTTTGGCGTAAGTTGGTTTCCTGGAAGCTGGCAACTGTCACTCCTCGTGGGTGCCAAGGAACAAAAGGGCTGCAGCCTTCCCATTTGTAGCACTGGCCTGAGAAGCACGGAACTGAACCCCGAATATGGGGCATGCCCACCACTCAAAATGCTTGATGCAAACGTCTCGCTTGACAAAGTGTGGATTACAAATGCGCTCGGCATCCGCCGTTTAAAAACAAAAAAAGGGAATGGGATCCCAGGAAGAGCCCATACATACATTGCGGAACCGCCAAAGTGGGGCAGTGAGTCCTCCCCGACCGAACTTCGCGTGCCTGTCATCTGCCTGGCAGGCATAGGCAAATCGGATCGAGTTTGACCCAGTCCCGGAGGGCATGTGACAAACAAAGAGCGATCTTCCATATTGGCCGTTCTTCTGGTAGCCAAAAAAAAAAGAAGGTTGCCCATGAAATCCTGAAGCCCTGTTAAGGGAATATGGATCCAGGGTAGACCTTGTCAAACTCCCTCGTTGATTGCTTTCAAATGAAACCTGATCTGCAGGAGTCATTTGACAGCCATAACACATACTGCTGATGCTTGTGATGGTCGATGCAAACCGCTGTCAAGAAGGTACTGTGCCGTAATTTCTTTACCATCCAAAGGAGGCCCAAGTTTTTGGGACACCCCCCCTATAGGAGGTTCAAAAAAAGTTGGCCTGCTTGGGGATCGCCCGGCCAAGCCGCCCAAATTTGCCTACCGGCCAGTTGTCTGGGTGCTTGAAATCCGCTCATTTGCTGGTGTTTGGCAACACTACCAAGATCATGCGCTCATCCCTGAAAGCCAACCAGTTGCTCACAATGAGAAACTGCGCCGTACAAACGATTCCTGGCGTCTGATCTTCTTCTATGCTGGGCTTTGGAGATTATCCGAGATCTCGAGTGCATAAAGACCGCATCGCTCGAGTCTGGAAGAAACGCTTAGGGTCCTTCCTAAAGAATCGATAACTTTCAGTGTCAAACTGTCCAAAAAGACATTGGAACTGCGAGCATGTCGCGGACACGTTGAATAGGCAGCCCGCTCTCATTCCAAGCTAACATCCTCGGAAAGTCGACATTGGCAACCCATGCTGACATCGCACTGATGACGATTTGGGTGAAGGAAAGAACGTCAAACGAATGCCTGTCCCATGAACCGCAAGCACATGCCTGCGGCCGCTCTGCTCGAACGCAGGCAATGATCCTCCCAAGTGCTCAGCGATGTTGTGGAAGCCATTGATCAAGGTGCTTTCAACAAACACACACACACACACAACCCCTTGTGATTTGGCACTAACTGGCCAAGTTGCTTCATCACAGCTTATGGATTTTATGAAATGCGGCAACTGATCTGACCGGGATGCGGTTTTTTGACGAGTTTCCGCATACGGACTAAAAATCATGTCCTAAAAACAAATCCGGAAACCCCAGAGAAGCATCTCATGCACACATCTCCCAAACGCTAGGCAAATTGCGTTTAATCACAGAAGATAGTCTGCCTCCAAAGTGGCCTTCAACATGACTGGCTTCTGGCTGCAGCTTTCCAAAACAATAGAAAGAAAACAGCGGGTGGAGGGGAAGGGGGGGTGGGTTAGGCTTTTTGCTGCACATTTGCTGGGTCCCACGATAGGCATGGAGCTTGGCGCCATGGAGCCCCGAAGGGAAACTGAGCAATCTTGAGATTTGACCACCCTCTACCGACGCAGGGCAACGCGAGACCCAGGGCCGAAATTGATCAATGTTTTGAAAGCCTGCATATGGAATTTCGAACCCAAGCTTCATGTTCCGAAGATGGCTCTTGCAAAGCCGTCGGGAGGATATACGGGTCCTTTCAAGTGCATAGCTTTTTGATCCCTTGCTTTTGGTGGCTCTTCCCAGCCAACCCACAAAACGTTGCCGGCTTGTTGAATCCAGGGTTGCTCATTCCGTCCTTTTCTCCCTGGCCCACCTGGTGAGCTCTCGGAGTTTGGGCAGCGGAAGGACGTGCAGGTCCAAGTTGGATTCCTGCAGCTGGAATCGCCGTGCAAAACATCAAAGCACTGGCGATCAGATGCGGCTTGTGACCTGGACTTGGAGATATTCGGAACAGGTGGCAATGTTAAAGTGCTACATAGGGCCACACTCCCTCAGACTAACATGGAAGCTCCCCGAAGGCCTCTGGAAATGGAACCAAGTCTTCCATTTCGGGGTCCAGGGAGCTTTCATGTTCGTCTGGAGGGTAACAAAATCATATCTCGAGCACCATCAGCCAGCTCCTCGGCATCGTCGGGACGCCAAGTGATCTCAGCCTGGTCACAAATGGCGCGCTGCCGCGCAGTTTGGCTGACTATGGTCTTGGCTCCCTTCGTACGAAGCAAGCCATGGGGGCTCTCACACAAACCCTGCAGCGTCGCTTGGACATATCGTTCTCAAGTATGCTCAGGAGTATTTGTCGAGATTCGAAATGCAGCCCAAAGTGCCAATCAAAAGCTTCAAAGCCCAGCAATCCCATACCTTCACTCAACACGCCATCGGAAACTTATGCAGAAAGCGTCGTTCAGACGTGCACTTTCTTTTATGGCGTGTCAGATTTTGCCCATCCACAGTATCAGCCCAGGCTTTCCGCTTCAGGCCGGAGCCCATCGATCCGGGTTCGTTTTGCTGGCTTCCCCTTCCTTCAGCCGGTGTTCAAGCCCAAACTTCAACTCAGGGACGAGAATTCGGCACCGAACACCAGGTGAGCAATCACAACCCGGGTAGATGAAGGGTAGTAAGGGAGAATCCCCCAGCCATAAATGGGTGCAGCTGCCTTTTTTTTTACAGGGTTCTGGGTAGACCATTTTGACAACAGGTCTTGCCGACTCAAATGTCTCTCTGTGTGCGAGTGTGCTGTTCTTTGAGGGTAGCCGTTTTAGGTCGGTTCGAAGGGAAACCACAAGGAAAGCCTACCCCAATGCAACTCGCCTTGAAGCCTTCCAAGACCTTCTCCAGCTGGTGAGGCTTCAGCTCATTGATCTGCCTCACACTGCCCCACAGTCCCCCTCCCCCCGTTGGATCCAACTCGGAAAACCGGGCGACTGATCGGTTCATGGGAACATTGCTAGAAGTATCTTCTAACTTCTCGTGCAAAGAATTCATCCACAGCCACCAGGCTGGAAAAGCCAGAAAGTTCTCGAAGGTGCCCCACAAAACTAAGAGTAACTTAGAGTGCCTTCTGGCCGGTCAGCTCTGCTGCACTAGTTTCAAAAGGGCCCTTCAAAGAGCCTGAGCCCATGGCAGGCCCAAGGCAAAGTCTCTATGGCCGATGCGATACCTCCCTGCGACCCACACGCGCCGGACCCCAGCCCAGCCTTTGCAGAATCTCCACTGGGTCCAGGCTCTCCTGAAACACAATTCCGCCGCCCAAAATCGCAATGGAACCTTGATGGGCGCAAGTATCATCAAGTCGAAACATCAAAATGAACAAACCCTGGCACATTGCCTTGACTGGCCAGAAGGTCGCCGATGGCTTCAATTCTGGTCAGGGGTAGTGTGGGGAGCAATGAAAAACCCGCGTCGCAAAAAGCCTTGATCTCATTGTGAGGTTGAAGCTTGTATAAATGTTTGTAGGCGATTGTCCAGCGTCCAGGCCTGAGCCAGGTTGACATTTGCCGGAAGATCTTGGACAAGTCTTTCACTCTGTTAATGGCAAATCCTTCTGGATACCAGAACAACAACTTTCTGGTACACAACAACTTACCAACCAGAAATAAGGGACACCAAGAAGGAGCAACACAAAAGCATAACCGCCGCAAGCGTCTTCAAACGGGAACCTATTTAACAAATTTCCACTGTGAAATGCGGGCCCCTCTTGTAGATGCATGCACGCGCACTAAGGAGAAGTGCCCGTCAATTCATCTAATCCCAACCACTAACGTGGACCCCAGCGAAGAAATGCCTCCTTTAAACAACTCAAGGACAACGGTCTTCAAGGCCCCCCCCCCCCGCATTCACATTCGTCTGCTCTTCCCCAGCGAAGGGAAACACTCGCTCTCTCTCCCCCAATTCCATTCTTCTAAGGGGTGGGGATCCTCCCCCTCGCAAGGCTTTCTGGGTTCCATGTTGGGTGGGAGGGCTATCACAAACCAGCAGGCAGGCCTTCTTCGACTCGTCCCGCACCTAGCGACCCGGTGATTTGCGTGAGTTCAGGGCGCTAAACCACAGTGTCCTTCCCAATTTCAAGAAACGCCCAACCCAATCACCAGAAAAAGAGGTGCAGGTGATAGTGACTTTCCCTTCAGATTTTTCGCAAAGATGCTTTCCTCCACGGTTTTGTGGGGATCGGTCACCACCAATAGTCGTCTTGACGGATCATTTGAGTGATGATCGCAACTCCGGCAGCATCGCCTCTTCCTGGCTGCCAACCACGGTATCCTTATCAAAGTGTTGGTATCAACATATCACTCATCATGTCACCAACAAAGGGAGTACATGCATGTATGCAGCACACAGTTTGTTCATACGTTGAAGCATCTAGCAACCCCTTAACCATCTGGCGGCCTTCATGTCAACCACAGCTCGCATCTGGGTTTGATCTGCAAACAAACACATCAACAATCTGCAATGATTGCAGTAGTCTAAAACCTAAAATTAAGAAATCGCCAAGCAAAGAGTCACCCACCCCACACCTGCAATACTTTCGTGAGACATTAGTAACCATGGGAGTGGACAAAAGAGTTTTTGGAGTAATTCTGACCATCCTCTTGAAAGGCCTCTTGTCCACTCCATCGCAACGGTTGCCAGGCAGTGGCAAGTCGTGGCCGAACCGACGTGCCGACGTCTCTTCGCGGCTCGAACCGCCTGAGCGGTGACCTCTGGCTTCGAGGGAGTCCTCACGGACCGAGCGCCGTTGAGATTTGTTCGCATGAGAAGTTGGAAGAGCTGCAAGGGGATTGCGTGGCATTGACCCTTTCTTCCACATGTCGCTCGGTGTCCGATGATTCGCGCTTCATGGCCTTTGCGGAGAAGTCTTTCCGGCTTTTGAGAGACCGCACGTTGCAGGCGGGGTTCGTACCAAACAGTCAATCAAAAACCGGAAGATCACAGCCAAAAATCAGACCATCAGCACGTGGAGGGAGAGAAACAGCTACGCTTTACCTCTTGTAAGCGATGCCCCGCGGCTGGGTGAGTACCCTGCTCCATCCTGCAGGCTCCGGTGCGGAAATGCGTCAAGAACACGCGTGCACAGGGTAGAGGTAGGCCACTGGTCACGTTTGTTGCAAAAACTGACAGGTCTGTCCGGTCCTCTCCCTCTTGGGCTCCACCTTGCCATTGGGGCCTTGCGAAGGCTCCAGGGACATCTGTCAGGAAACCAGGGTGTTGAGTGTGAGGTGTCTGCTGCAACTTCAATGTCAACTAAGTCCAAAAGTGGCTGGCCCAAACAAACATTTGAGCTCGTTGTGTGGTCAGCCAAGTTACCACAGCGGTGTTTGGTTGCATCGCACGATCCCAACATCCATTCTCGCTCTTTCTCTCTCTCTCTCTCTCTCTCCCTCTCTCTCTCTCTTGCAATGAAATCAGGCTTGTCGTTTTGCTGGAAGTAACAATGCACCATAGGCCAGCAAATCATGTCAGCAGTTCCAGGGCATAACACGGCACCTTGCAACTCTGGAAGTATGCACAAGGCCTGACAATTGAAAACACAAACCAAGCAGTCTTCCCAGATTGGGCCTGGTGGACACTCACTCTAAATCAACAGATGACAAGTAGTTCAAGGAGAATGGGTAGTATCTGTTAGTAGGGTAGCGACACTGTGAGGGCACTGAACCTTGAGGAACAGCTGTTGAACCCTCTTGATGCTTTACCAGCTGTCGAATTGCAGGGCAAAAGTTGTGGCTAGCTGTTTGAGATGATGCAGGGGCCCAAAAAGAGGCGGCGGCGATCCAATTCTGAGCCCAAACCAGGGCACGTTTGGGTTCTGATCTCCCATCCGCACCCATGGGCCACCCCAAGACCGGAGGGCCAGACTGGCCCTCCCACGCCCCGCGACTCTGGGAGCGGTGCCCCTCTTCTCTTTGATCTCAGCTCCTCAAGTGGTGAAAGCTTTGGATGAATGAACTGCTTGATCAAGTTCTCGAACGGATGTTTCTGCTCAAGCCGGGTTTATCAGCCCAACCCGACGCCTGAATGGGAACCTCGGATTGACGGATCGTCCAGCTCGGAAACTTCGGCGGTTCAATAAGGATGGCCAGTAGGGGGTAGTTCCAACAGTTTGATCGCACCATCTGGATATACCAAAGGAGTTGATGTCGCAAAACCTCAATGCTGCAGAACAACAGTTCCACCGGGTCACTTGGCAATCGCTCGACTGGACTCAAGCCAAGCTCTAGACATCCTGATATGTGAGCTCTTTGGGGCAAATTGTGTCCATTGGCCCTCCAACAGAACCATGGGACTAACTCTCCCACGAGCAAAGGTGGGTTCACAGCACACTCAGTCACAGGTTACTGCAGAGAGAGGACGCTACATTCTCTGGTTGCAAAGAGTAAGATGTGGCTGGTTTGTGCTCCCGAAATGGTGGCCCGGTGTGACTGCAGGGACAGCGCCACATCGGAAAGAAAGCCTCAAATCAGAGCAGAGCAGCAGCATTCCAGGTCTGTCGAATTGGACGCCGCCTGCGAGTTGCTTGGCGAGTTTGTGCCTAGGCTTGGAAAGCCACAAAGCCCACAAAGCCCGCTGGTTGTGTCGCTGCTTCAAATCCACGTTGCGGGTTCCCGCAGTGCGCACCCCACATTTCGTCCTGTGTTGTCTGCGTCAAGTAAAACCCTTCAAGCTGCGAGCCAAAGGTTCTGGGAGTCCCTGCTGAGGCGAGTCTCCTGGAACTTATCCCGAGCCTGCGCGGCACATACGGCGAATCCGAAGACTCAGAGGACCGACGGAATTCTTCGGGCAAAAGATTCAAGAGGTATGTGCTCATGAACACAACGCGCAGACTGAAATACTCGTAATTGAAGGACCTGAACCGATCCCTGCGTTTTGGTTTCTTAACCGCCTACCCTCGGAGATTGTCCCATTGAGCAGGTAGTTGCGAGGGAACTGCAGCAGCTACCCCAATTCAAAAGCATGATGACGTCACGGGTCCCATAATGGCTGACGGGATGTTGGACGCGTAACCCAGTCGGTGACATAGAAACTCTAAGTGGGGATAATTCTCCAAACAAAGCCCTCCGATGCTGGCAGCAGCTACCAGTAGGGTTTCAATCCCCAACCCACCAATCCAAACCACCAAGGGTTGTTTGCCTGATAGACAAGCCGGAGCGTTTGGCGGACCTGGCAGGCGTCTCGAAATACACCTCTCCCCTTTGGGTTTCCCTTCTCCAGGGGCACACTCAACAAAGACACGCCCAAATTAGAATCCTTTGGGAGGAGCTTTACGAGGGAGCCTTTCCCCTGAAAGCATCGCCTTAGACCCCCCTCCCTATTTAATCAACCAAGGGTTTGTTGATCCTCAGCGCGGGAGCCAATGCCACTGCATCAGTGGTGGCCACTCCGCATGCTTGGCGTCCTTTCGATTTCCCAACTAAGGACTGCCCGGTTTGGAGGCTTTGTCTTGCATCGGCCAGCCTTGGCATAGGCCTTGGCCGCTTCCTGGCAACATGCGAATACGTCAAAGAGAGCCCAAAATCTGCGACTGGCGACTGCCCGGTGCCTTTTTGTTGGACCACCGCAAACTAGGGGGACAACATTGATCAAGAACACGTATCACGGACCCCCCCCCCCCCCGGAAATGCAGGCTTCCGTGGGCTGTTCTGGCTGGGAAATGGGAAAAGAAAAAGACATGGGGACTCATTCCCACTTCGCCCGGCCGGTGAAAAGAATGCTGAGGATTGTTGATGTTTTTGTTTGTCGTTATCGCTTGTCTTGTCCCTCATCGTCTTACACGCTTTTGCGTTCTGGCAGATCCAACCACCTCGACAACCATAACTTGTCAGTGCAAGCCTAGCACGCAAAGTGTGCGCACAGTGCCAAAGCATGCTCCTGAGCAGGGAAGCTTGGGCGGGTGTGCTTAACAATTGGAAGGTGTGTGTGTGTGTTGTGTGTGTGTGTGTGATGTGTGTGTGTTGTGTGTGTGTTGTGTGTGTGTGTGTTGTGTGTGTGTTGTGTGTGTGTGTGTGATGTGTGTGTGTATTGTGTGTGTGTTGTGTGTGTGTGTGGTGTGTGTGTGTGTTGTGTGTGTGTGTGTATTGTGTGTGTGTGCGTGTTGTGTGTGTGTTGTGTTCTGTTGTGTTGTGTTGTGTTGTGTGGGTGTTGGTGTTGGTGTGGGTGTGGGTGTTGGTGCTGGTGCTGGTGCTGGTGCTGGTGCTGCTGGTGCTGGTGGTGCTGGTGCTGGTGCTGTTGGTGCTGGTGCTGGTGCTGCTGGTGCTGCTGCTGGTGCTGCTGGTGCTGGTGCTGCTGGTGCTGGTGCTGTTGGTGCTGCTGCTGCTGCTGCTGCTGCTGGTGCTGCTGGTGCTGCTGTTGGTGCTGCTGGTGCTGTTGGTGCTGCTGGTGCTGCTGGTGCTGCTGGTGCTGCTGGTGCTTGGTGCTGTTGGTGCTGCTTGGTGCTGTTGGTGCTGTTGGTGCTGTTGGTGCTGTTGGTGCTGTTGGTGCTGTTGGTGCTGTTGGTGCTGTTGGTGCTGTTGGTGCTGTTGGTGCTGTTGGTGCTGTTGGTGCTGTTGTTGGTGCTGTTGTTGGTGCTGTTGTTGGTGCTGTTGTTGGTGCTGTTGTTGGTGCTGGTGCTGGTGCTGTTGGTGCTGCTGGTGCTGTTGGTGCTGCTGGTGCTGCTGGTGCTGTTGGTGCTGCTGGTGCTGTTGGTGCTGTTGTTGGTGCTGTTGGTGCTGTTGGTGCTGTTGGTGTTGCTTGGTGCTGTTGGTGCTGTTGGTGCTGTTGGTGCTGTTGGTGCTGTTGGTGCTGTTGGTGTTGTTGGTGTTGTTGGTGCTGTTGGTGCTGTTGGTGCTGTTGGTGCTGTTGGTGCTGTTGGTGCTGTTGGTGTTGTCGGGCTGTTGGTGCTGTTGTTGGTGCTGTTGTTGGTGCTGTTGTTGGTGCTGTTGTTGGTGCTGTTGTTGGTGCTGTTGTTGGTGCTGTTGTTGGTGCTGTTGTTGGTGCTGTTGTTGGTGCTGTTGTTGGTGCTGTTGGTGCTGTTGTTGGTGCTGTTGTTGGTGCTGTTGTTGGTGCTGTTGTTGGTGCTGTTGTTGGTGCTGTTGTTGGTGCTGTTGGTGGTGCTGTTGGTGCTGTTGTTGGTGCTGTTGTTGGTGCTGTTGTTGGTGCTGTTGTTGGTGCTGGTGTTGGTGTTGGTGTTGGTGTTGGTGCTGTTGTTGGTGCTGTTGTTGGTGCTGATTTTGGTGCTGCTGTTGGTGCTGTTGTTGGTGCTGGTGCTGGTGTTGGTGTTGGTGTTGGTGTTGGTGCTGGTGTTGGTGTTTGTGTTTGTGTTTGTGCTTGTGTGTGTGTGTGCAGCACTGAGCAATGCTCTTGATCAGGTTCGCTTTCCATGTGGAAAGCTGTGGGCAGTCCTGAGCGGGTGTGCTCGAGCGGGTGTGCACATCATGTGGGCGTGTGTGTTTGTGTAGGTTTGTGTGTGTGTGTGCATTGTGCTGTTTTGTGCTGTGCTGCGCTGGGCTGGGCCGGGCTTGCCTATCATGCCAGGCATTCATGCCTCAACTGCCGCCTGGGCCAAGAACTACTACTGCTGCTGGTAAAGGCACTGACATAATACTAGAAATCATAGTAGTAAGAAAGAAAGTAGTAGTCAAATAGTAGGAGGAAGAGGAGGAGGAGGAGTAGTGGGGTAGTAGGAGTGAGAGCAGGAGCAGGAGCAGGAGTAGGAGTTAGGATGGTGGGAGGAGCAGATGCCGGAGCAGGAGAAAGAGCAGGAGAAGGAGCAGGAGCAGCAGCGGGATCAGGAGCAGGAAAAGCGGCAGAAGCAGCAGTAGTAGTAGGCCAGGAAGCAGTCAAATCTAGTTTTTTGGTCGACCCTTTGTTCCTGAACGCTTTGGCATTCAAAAGCACTAGCCCATATCCCGCGCAGACTGCTTTGCTTCATAGATTTGGACGGACGCTCACTATCTGTGCGTTTGTATTTCTATTTGTTTGTTGCAAATCCAGATGATTACCCATCACAAACGCACACATCGCGGTAACCTCCCCACCTCCTCGGTCTCGAAGACGCCCAGTGTGACGCCGTCAAAGCGCGCGCGCCAGCTGCGGGCGAGAAGTGGTGAGCCAGGGGTCCCGAACTGAGTTGCAAATGGCCAAAGGTGGTTTGCCATTACTTCGAAACCAAGGCAAAACCACAAACAACAAAAGATCTGTGGCAGCGACTGTTAGCACCTGAAAGGGTTGTCAAGTGGGCCGATGCCGGGCCTCTTGAGAGGAAGGAGGAAAGCACTCGACTGGCATTCTTGGTGAGGAACCAAAAGGATGACGCGCTGACTGTCTGTTGCGTGGACAGGGGGCAGGATGTCCTCTTGGCCTTGGGGGCGCTCTGTCCCAACGAAACATTCCCGAAAACTCGACACGAGAACTCGGCGGACCCCCGCACACGAAAAATGAATTCCCAGAATTCCTGTAGCTGGCGAGGCTGGATGTGAGTTGGCTCAAAAGTCAATAGTCACTGGATTGGCCGGCAAGCAGGGCTGGAATAGCTTGGAAAGCAGGGCAGCGCTCGGCCGGGCGGAGCCCTGGACCGCCAGGCCTGTTGTCTCGTTCCTTGCGGTCAGCCTTGGAGACACCCAGGTACTTGGAGGTAAACCTCAGGCGTCAAATGGCGATACCTGAACCTCCAGTACACATCCGCGACGGGAAGTCCCACCGAGCAATGTGATAGAATCGGACTCAACAAGGGAAGCAAGCTGGTCGAGCACATCGGGATAAATCGTTCAAAGGATGTCTTTTCCGGTGATGTCAACTGAAACGTCTTGAAGAGAACTTGGAGGTTCATCCTACTTCACAGCTAGGGTAGATTATGCTCATGGTCACGAGGTATTCCTATCTGATTTTCAAAGCAATGCTGTGTGCGTGTGTGTGTGGGATGGGACTCCGAGATCTTGGGTCCCGTATTGCAACGGGGTCTGCTATCGAACCAAGCTTTGTGGTCAGTCGCCCGGAAGGCCCGCAAAACCCGTCCGCTTGATTACAATAACTAGAACCAAACACACGATGTCCCCCTCAAATTGACATGCCTCTGGGCAAAAAGAACAAGCTATGAATCAATCCTCAGATTGAACGCCTCCACTAAAGCGGTGCCTTGCCAGAAGGATTCCCCTGGCTTAAGGCCCCTCTCCTGGCTCAACCCCCTGAGCCTCCCTGCTCTGTGCGAGCCTCCGAGGCAGGCCGCATGTACAACCTAAGCCAATGTGAACTCATCGGAGCCCGCTCTCCCCCGTTTTTGGAACGGGGCACCGGGTGAGCTCAAAAGCACAAGATAGTGCTAAGGAGGCTCCAAGTTCCAAATCCCCAAGGACCGGAGTCCAAAACGAAGCCTCCCCAGAAATTGAGTAAACTTCGGGTAGATCTTTCCAGAGCACTGGAATGTTGGCCAATGTTGGCCCCATGGCAAAGTTCAGGCAAGAAAACTCCAAAAGCTTGTAGCCCGTGGGTTGTGGCGGCGTTTGCGCTGCTAGAGCGGTCCGAACAACGACGCCCTACTTCCTGGGTCCTATTTCTGAAGCTCACTGGGCCGGCTGCCCATGCTCATCGCGCTCCCCGGCGAAATGTCGCTTTTCACCCTGGCAAAGAGCACGAGACGCCAAAACACATTGACCCACACCATCTCAGCCCCTGTCTTTCATTCTTTCGCTCTCTCTTTGCCCCAGCCCCGGCTTTCCAAAGCCCCAAGGAAACTCAGGGCTGCGAACTCCCAAGTGGAATGATTGCGAGCCGATTTGCCTGCCTCAAGACCGGAGCTTGCGTCCAACTCTGACTGCTCTCTGTGCACTAAAGCGGCACAGGCCAAATAGGCCTGCCAAAATGACAAAACATCAAAAGATTAGCAATCAACTAGGCCTGCCAACAGGATAAAAGCGTCCAAGCAAACAAACAAACAAACAAACAAACAAACAAACAAACACACAAACAAACAAACAAACAAACAAACAAACAAAGAAACAAACAAACAAAACACACACCGCGGCGGCCTTTCAACTTTCATCCGACACCGAGCCCTTTTTGTTCGTCTTCTTTCTTCGACCCGACTCGATCCAAGCCGGAGCGGCGAGGGCCACCTTCGCCTTCAGCTTGGCCTTGATGACCTTGGACCTGGCAACCGGCCACGCCGCTGGCGTCACGGCCAGTGACTGCCTGACGTGCGCCTAGATTGAAGCCTGGCCAATGTATCATGTTTGAAAGACTGATGCACAGCTTCGGAAGCGGAATTTCTGGCACAGCTGCTCATGTGCACCTCTGAATTTGGTGACACTGGGGCTAGGGGAAGCAATGCAAGAATTTGTGCCACCTCTGTCAACTTACACCCTCTGAAGGATCGTTCCACGGCTCCCTCCAACTCCCAAAGCGCGAAACGTGCTTTCAGTGGGCTTCTGCGGGTTCAAACCCGTCCAAAAAGATTCCCCTTCCCGTATGGATGAATCATTGTGTTCTTCGTTTCAGCTTGTTCCCGAAAAGGGTTTAGGGTTTAGGGTTTTTGACACACAGCCCCATGGCGCTGCAATTGGCTCAAATTCGCCCAAATGGTCCAAACTGCAAGGAACGCACCAAGGATTCCATAGAGAACCCACAATTCCAGCCTTTGGGGAAACCAAGCATATGGGGCCGCGTCCACCTGAAACCCAACCCATCAGCAGGACCTCTTTGATTTCGACAAATGGGACCCCCCGGCCTCAAGAGCTCCCTGATGCGGGAGGAGGGCGTGCCCTCGGGCCTGGAGAAAGATCGAGTGGACTTCTGCGGCTTCCTTTGGTGGGCGTTTTGTTTTTTTGGGTTGGGTGGTTTTGGGGAGAGGGGGGGGTAGTTTTGGTGAGGGTTCTGGGGTGGATGTTTGGGGGAGTGGTTTTGGGCTGGATGTTTGGGGGAGTGGTTCTGGGGTGGATGTTTGGGGTGGATGTTTTGGGGGGGATGTTTGGGGGAGTGTTGTGCTCGGCTTTGCAGTACCCTCTCGGGTTTCTTGGATTGAATTCGAAGGGATACCAGCCAGGAGGCTCCTCATAAGATACACCCGGATCGGGGTATGTGGTTTTCACGGGGGACCCCCTTTTGGGATGGGTGGAAAGTCTCGCGGCCGGAGACAAACCAGTCCGGACATCTGCCTGTCGACGAGCCAAATTCTAGTCGGTATTCAAACAAAGGCACTCCAAATAGATATGCTTTGTTCCCCAACAGGGAAAATTGGACAGGCCCCCGAGGGTTTGGTAGTGAATATGGGTAAATGCGGGTCAGGTCTTGGACCCTGCCAGACCTATGGAAAGGCATGGATCAGGCGAGCCATGTAGATCATGTCTGTCTTGAATGCTGCCCCTTCTGTGTGGGCACTTGAGCGGGTTCTTTGACATGCCGAATCAATGACACTCCATTTGCTTTCCAGGCCGACACGGGTCCCCACCGAGCACTCAGCTAGCACAAAACCAGAAACAACGCCCGCCTGATCATTCGAGGTCAATTTCATGGCCGAGCACAATCCATCAAGATCAGGCAACTGGAAAAAGGGAAACCCCAAACAGCAACTTTGCCATGGTCCAAGAAGGACAAATGAGCTGTGTATTGACCGACTGCATGGCGCCGTCTGCCTGGACTTCTTCTTGTCCTCTCCTGCCGCGTTGAAATGATGCATCACAACGTCCCGTATCGTGCTTCGAGAAACAACAAAAGTGCATGATGCACTCCTACATAAAGTAAATGACGGTCGTGTGAAGCTGAAAATGCAGTTCACGGACGTGATTGTCCAGCACACACGCACACCTCCTCAAGGTTTTGATGCTCAAATTGCAGTCTTGGCTTGCCTTTGTGACCATTGACTGTCGTGAGAGCAAGATCCCCAGGTTGTCGTTTTTGTTTAGTTAAACAAATGCACTCAATATTTCTTTGGGCAGCCTTTGACAGTTTGTGTGTCTTTGGCACCCCTTGTTAGGAATATGTCGGGGGCTTGTTCAGCATTGTCTGGCCCAAAGGTCCGACCAGGTGTGCCTGATGGGACAAAGTTGGGAAAATGGCACGAGGCGGCCACCCAGCACCCCGATCCGTCGGACCGAGTGTCGCCCCTCGCCTCCAGGCCGAATCTTGGACCTGGACATGGAACGGAACACCCATGCGGGCCGGGGGGGGGGGGGGCTGTGGCAGGATCCGTGCTCAGGGCTGTCAGGTGAGGCCTTTCAACATAGCAACGGCTGCCAGTGACCCAGCTGCCAGCCCCTTTTTCATTGAGGATAACATCCATGTTCGATCCAAAAGACCATGGCCCCAGGCTAGCAATTTCTACAAGGTGGCGAAACTCTGAAGTGCAGTCAACAGAAATAATTTGATTGAAGAAAACCCTCAAACAACAATTTGCGAGCCACCTAATTAGGGTCAGGGCATAGGAGAATGACTCCAAAGCAGGGTTACGAGCGTCCTCAAATCAGCCAAGCGGCTTCTTGTGCTTTTTGTGCTTCTTGTCCTTCTTGTGTTTCTTGTCCTTCTTCTCCTGGCATCGATTCGGCCAAGACCAGTCAGCCCCCAAAAGGGACGTTAGCCTCATGCGGCTGGATTTTAATGTGCTGTCCATGTCAAGAACGTCAAGCTTTGGTACCTGGAAATGCCAACCACTCCGCAGGGCTCCAACATGTTGGGTCTACAGGCGGGGGGGGGGTTAGCCGGGAATTTGACAGGCCTACATCTTCTGCTTGCTCGCATCTTTCTTCACAACTTCAGCCATTCCAAGTTCGTGTACATGTTCGCTTGAGCGTCTGTTTGCTTCCCAGTAAGAAAACCAAGTCGCGACGATCGTGCTTGGTGTTCAACAAATCAAAATTCAATGGCCAACGATCAGGCTGCAATGAAATCTCAAGCACGACAGCCGCAGTGGGATCGCCTGTGAGAGCATGTGAAGCCACTACCAGCAAACTGTCCAAATACCAGGGATCAATTAGCCAGTAGTCTTGCAAATAAGATGCAACGCGGGGTTGCCCAGCCAAGCGCAGCAGCAATATGAAGCATATGGATGCGAATGCCCTCCCGGTAAGGGTCCGCATGAGCCCGGCGGACTGCGTGAGAACTCTACAATACGAAAGCAGTTCACAACTCACGGAAACATCTCCCCCACCCCCCCGCCAACGAGAAGGGAAAGCCGGAGAAGGCAACAGTTTCGCATAATCAAGATGTTGATCACTGAAAAAGAAACAAATATGTGATTTTCCCGGCTAAACCCCCCGTTGCAGGCCGTTGTTGCTCTTCTCACTTGGCTCGCTCTCCCCTTCACCCGCCTTCTTGTCTTTTTTCGCCTTCTTCTCCTGGCCCAACTGTGGGAAGCCGAACTGAACTCCCCAGAGGAACACCAGCTCAACGGCGCTTGGCAAAAAGTCGTAGTTCGCCATGGAAATCACGTGCCTCAACGCATTGCCGGGGAAAAAACAAGTTGAGCGGTCCGTCACCTTCTCTCAAGGGATTGCCCAAGGCGCTGGCCCCGCCGCAAACACCAGGTCGAAAGAATTCTCCCTCTGAAAGAAAGATCCCACTTCTCACATACTCCGTGACTCTCTGCGAGACTTGGTGCCATACGTGTTTTCCTGGGGGACATATCTTCCCTTGGTCCCTGCTGACCGCGCTGAGCTGAGCACAGGCTCACGGGTTTCGTTTAGATGGACCCCAGGTGCAGCCACATCGCTCAAACCGCTGGAGGCCGCTCTAAAGCCAACGCTTGTTTCTGAGGTCAAAACTGTACTCAAAACTCCACCAGCGGGGCATGTTCGCGGTCCCCAATTCGGAAGCTTCTCTAGCCCAGACTAGACAAGCAAATCACAATCCTTCACCCAATTGAGCAGGTTCTTTCACCGCAAGACCAGCAACTGCCATAAGCTGAGGCCATGCCACATTCTCTCTCGCTGGGACTTGATAAGTCAGGCTCCTCTGCACAACTTCCGCTCTGAATCTGAGAGCCGGAGAAAGAAGTCACGCCTGATCCTTTCAAAAAACAGCCCCCACCTCCCCCCCCCACCCAAACCGAGAGATCCATTTCCCTGCACGCATGCTATGTTCCAAACTGGTCCCAACCTCAACCTCGATGACGTCTAAACCAACTCACATGTTCGCCCATACCTTGGACGAGAAGCGCGACGGCCCCTGCCTTTTCTGCCTTCTCAGTCCTGAAAGCCCCGAGCCCAGCTCACCGCAACGCTTCGACGTGCAATACAGTTGTTTCTCGCCAGCCCAAAGTCAGCACGGGTACCATGGCTCAAGTTACTCAAGTTACTGAGCCTCCCGCAGTGCAGTGGCAATCAATGGCAATCATTCGCCCTTCTTCGAACACGCATCATGCCATCATTCACCGACCCGGCCGAAAAGAAGAAGAAAAAAGAGGAAGGGCCGAAGGGAAATGATGGGGGCGCCCAAAGAAGGCCGAGTGGTCTTCACGGCCAAGCCCTGTCGCTGTTTGCAGTCGGGGCAAGGGATAAGATCACGGGCGCCTTCCGTGGGACCCCAATGGGTGTCATGTTAGGCATGTTGCGCGAACTCCGAAGGAATGCCCAGCTCAACCTTCTTGATTGTCATAGTGTTTACATATGTGGCGGACACATGTATAAATGTTGGTTATATATATATATATGTATGTGATTTCATGTATGTTGTTTATATATATATATATATGTTCATCTAATGATGTTCTTATTCAATCATTTGTTTGCTTATATTTTCTTCTTTACTGGCCTGTCGTTTTTTGAGGGTACCCATGTTTGCGGAGGTTCAAAGGGAAATCAAAAGGAAAACCTTCATTTTGGAGGGCCCCCTAAAAAAGGCACACCCATATGTACACAAGTACATATATAGTGTATATATATATATATACTTGTGAAATGTATAAGCGACATTCACCGCAAGGACTGCCAGGCAACTGGAACTCCGATCGAGTCACCCTGCTCGCGTAAAGTCGCCCCGGAAAATGCGTCTAAGACCCTAAGCTGGCTGTCCCGGAACAAAAATCAGCACCAAATACACGAGGGGACACTGGAAAAACGGGCATAACATGCCTTTACCCACGAGCACTGGAGCAAATGTTGTGTAGCAAAACTGCATGGGGACACCCGATCAGTGCGACTTCGCAAGCAACGGCGACTTGACACAGGAGGTAACGTTGCGAAAGACTCTGACTTGCTTCTCTGGCTTCATGTCGGTGTTTTTTGCAGAACCAGAAGCCCCCTAGTCCTGTCACTCAGACTGTCACTTGGCTACTTCAGCAAGAAAGGAAATGACAAGAAATTAATGCCAAACAAAACTTGACAGCGAGCAATGATATCTCACACTGCCAGAATGATATTGATGCACATAGTTGATTGTTCTGATCGAGCCTATGTATATTCTGTTTGGACGATATACTCTGCAGGCTGGGTCATTGGGACACTTGCACAGAACATGCAACAGTTGAACACCCTGCCTGAAGCCGCTTGGACACCCACCCCGTCCCTCATCCAAGGCTGATAACTACGCCGGACACATGTACGCCGCCCATTCTCAAGCCTTCACTTCGGGCTATAAACTGGTCATCAATGAGTGTGTGTGTGTGTGTGTTGCCTTTTCTGGTGCTAAGTGTAAGGGAAACCAAAGTGAGACCATCAAGTTTCAGGTTTTCCCACGAGACAAGCCTCCCCTGAACCTCATGTCAAGGCGCTTGTCTGGCCTCTCGGCCTTCTCCTTCTCAGCCTTGGCCTAGCAGCATCCCATTTGGGTGTCGTTGTTCTCGCTTTGGGGGTTACCTCTTTGAGGCCACCCCTCGGCGTGGTGCATCTCGTTCTCTTTCATGCTTGCATAACCATGAGGCACGTGCGCAGGGATCAGCCGTCTGTCAGAAACGAAAGCGGCTCTATCAAGCCTCCAAAAGGGCCACGGGTGTGCAAGGCGTCGAACGAGCCGATGTTGCCAACGTAAAACCCAAGCAAGGCACAATATCATTGGGACCCTTGCTGCGGCATCGAAATTGCATCTGGGGCTCGGGGTGGTCTTTCCGCGATGCCAGCGAGCTTGATGAGCATATTCAAAGATAACATTCACGTGCTCCTAGTACGTGCCCCTGAATGCATGTTATTGGTGTCGGAAGCATTTTCAATGGTAGAAGCGCGCAGACATGACTTTCTTTTCTGCGGGAAAATAAGTCATTTCTACGTGCCACCACGCTGGCGTTGCTGGCTGGCGTTGTTGCCCCGGCCCTCGTTCATAGTTGCCGGATAGCAAGCAAAGCTTGAGAAAGGCTTGTATAAGGCAAAGCATTTCTCAAAGCTGCAATCAACAGCTTGGTAGGGGCACGTGATCACTATCCCTTTCATGAATGCCACCCAGGGCCGGCCCTTCTCATTAGAAGCACTCCAACACCGGTTCAACCGTAAGTGTAAATCTAAATGTCAAATTCAAGATAATTGCAACTTTTCATCTTGAATGAACGGAAAACCTGGCCTGCCCGATGCTGTTTAAATTCTTTGTGTAGGGCGGTACGATGCTTGTGTCATGGACCAAGGGAGGTATAGGGTAGGGCTATCCGTGGACAACCGGAAAAGCCAAGGACACTCCCATCGTGACAGCTCCCCTTTGGAGGTTCATGATTATGGCTTTCGTGCCCGGCAGGGAGGAACCAATTTAGACAAGGATGGAAGCGGAAACCACTGAGACTGCAAGAGACTTTGAGGGAATAGTTGACATCGGGAACCAAGGCCAGAGTGGGTTGAAGGAGGCCGCAGGTGGGAATCCGTCAGCCCATAAACCACGGAATCCACCACGAAAAAGCGTTCTCTCCACAAAGGGGCAATATGGAGTGGCACTCCAGGGAAGGAATCTGCACATAGGCAACACTGCAGGTGGAGCCCAAAGACCTGAACCAGCACGGCCTTCTCCGCCTTCTCTTTGGCCTGTTTCTCCTTGTCCTTGGCATCCTTCTCTTTCAGTGCCTTTCCAGGGCTCAGGCTGCTGTGCGCAGGAGGCGGTTTCAAATAAAGGGCTGAGACCACCATGCCCCTTCATGTCCTACAAATCCACGACCAACTCATCTTGGCAAGAGTGAATCCCTGCCTTCTCCACCTGCTCCTTGGCGTCTTTTGAGTTTGCGTCCCTGGTGTCCTTACCCTCCTTGTCCTTCAACTCCAAAGCTTTCTCTGTGTCAGCTTTGTCCAGCTTCAACTCCTTGGCCTTCTCTATCCTCTCTTGCTCGGCTCTCGCTGCTTTCTCGAGGGCTCGCTCTGCTTTTGCCTTCTCAGCCGCGGCCTTGTCCTTCTCGGCTTTTGCTGCCTTCTCGAGCGCTCGCTCGGCTTTTGCCTTCTCAGCCTCTCTGGTAATGCCGCCATGCGGTATAACTCCGCAGTTATGATAACTCTGACCATCTGTAAGGCCAGAAGGGAACAGCCTTGCCTGTGTTCACGACATTAGCAACTCGGGCCCCCGATTTCAGGGGCGCCAATGCTTCCTGCCGGTGGATCTGTGGGCAACGCAGCAAAGTGAGGCTGGAGGACTGAGTGTGTCCCCACAATCCCGCGTAACTAACAGGGCAGGTCTTGAACTACCACCCAAACTACTTGCAACCTGCTCCCGTGTATTCAAGCGCGATCGCGCAGCTTCTGAAGGGACAGTGTTCAAAGAGATTCATGTTGCCACCAGCTTGCCCGGCTGATACCCAGCAGGGGCTTTGTGACGAACAAATGGCTGCTGCACATATCTGAAGCCTCACTGCGAGAGAGCGAGAGAGAGTCCACTGAGTCCAATGTTCCTTCAGCAGCGAGAGGCGTGAACAAAATGTTGTTCCAGTGGCCTGTTTTGTTGTGCTTGCTGACCTTGCCCTGATATAGGGAACTGTAGGTCATGTGTTGGCCTCGCCGCCCTGTTTTCGTGGAAGCATGTGCGCATCACCGGGGCCCACTGGACCTCAACCCCCACGAACTCGTCCCCAGTCCAGGGCCCTTTGGCGATCTCAACGTGCGTGGGGAATCAACTTTTGAAAGACCTGTGAAAGGACACTAAAAAAAGCAGCCACAAAGGGCTATGGCTATGAACATATATATATGTATGTACTGCATACTCATATAATATACATATATGCACATATGCACATGCATGTTAAACGGTTTGTGACGGACAACATCCCGCGCTATGACTCGGATCGTGGCCTTTTCCAGGTGCTCCATGGACTGCTTCTTCGCCAACTTCGCTTCCAGCGTTTGCCGGAAGTCTTCCTGCAAAGGCTCAAAGGCGCTGCCACCTTCCATCCGCAGCTCCAACTCCCGTTGGCCATGGGAACGGGTCCCAGCAAATTTACAAACCAATGCCAAAATTGGATTGCTCCTATTTTCGATTGGATGGTTCCTTCGCAAAATTGAAAGGAATAACACTAGCAACTATTCATAACTATCCCGGCTCACCCGAGTATTCATATCCACATTGACCCATGCCTCGATGCTGACTCTCTTCTTCGAGCTCTTGGAATCGCCCGGGCCCTGGCGATGTGAATTCCAGAGGCCAACTCGAGATCCAAGGGGACCATGAAAAAACCGTGCAGCAACCTTCCAGTCGAAATCATTTAAGCCTTTTGGCTTCCTCAAGCACCATGCCAAAAAGGCTTGCCCCGCATACCAACAGCAGTGTCTCTGCGTTCAACAACCCGTGGTGCCATCTTTCCTGGGCGTCGCATGTCGCGAAATCGCCCAACCCTGCGCCTGGCTGAACGCCTTCATCGCAACCTCCCAGGCGTCCTGCAGAAATGTCCCCCTCAAGCATCCGGGGAAGCTACCAGTTCCGCCACTGACTTCATCTTGATCTTCAAATCAAGTTCCCGCCTTTTTTCACTTTACGTGCAAGCAGTCATCAGGCCGGGTTCAAATAAAACACCTCAGGCCACCCCTGCCTTTGATTGTGATTCCTTGAAAATTCCGGGACTCAAAACCGCCCACAGAACCGCGGCCTCTCCTTGGGCCGGTCTTTCCTGCGGAGGAGCTCGTCTCTGTCTTTCTGCAGCTTCTCGAGCTCCTGCGGCACTGGTTGACGCTCACCCTCCAAAAACAACACGGGGCGTCCGCCTCGCAGCTCCAAAGCGACACCAACCCATTTGCCCCCATGAGCCCCAAGAGTCATTGAGTGACATGGCCCACCTTGGAGCTCTGTGGGCATAGTAGCGCCGAAAACCCAGAACTCCCACCTCCGGGACTGTTGCGCTCTGCGCGAAACTTTCAAACGGTTTACCCTCCAACCTGGACTCGCTCGTCCGCAATATGATTCTTTGAGCCAACGTGTGCAAAAACCGGGAAACTCGGCAGGTCAACAGGTCGGCCTGATATATGCTGACTGGGCCCAAACTTCGGCAAGGTCTGCGTCAAGCACATGAGAGGGGCCGAGGGGCATTGGTAACGAAAAGTCAAATTGAACATGCACTCCTGCTTGATGCCAGAGTCCGGCTTCACCTGTGCAAGGAGAGGAAACAAGCAGCAAATGCGGCGGGACTCCGACCAAAGCCACACACACCAAACAACAAAAACGTCCGACCCTCCCAGCCAAACGATTGCACTTTGGTGAACGAGCCCCTGCGCCTTCTCCGGCTCCGGCTTCTTCTCCTGCGTATGGGAACGACTGCCGTTGGCATTGAGAACGATTCTTGCCTTCAACCTACTGCAACATCGAATGGATTCCAGTAAATGCCACTGGCATCAGGCTTTTTTGTTTCCGCTCCCCTTTTGGCGAACGAACCCTTCCTTCCACCCGGACCTCGCGAGCTACCCTCCTGCTTGGAGGGGCTCGCTTTTTGGGGGTGGTTTCTATCGAAAGTTAAAGCCACTTAACATGTTTATTCGCTTACTCACCGACTATCAGAACTTGCTAGCTGACTAATCGACCAGCTCACCAACTTGCTGGATAGCCAACAATCGAACAATCCAACAAACACACGAACGAGCGAATGAACGAAGAAACGAACGCACGCACGAACGAGCGGGCAAACGAAACAGACAGACAGACAGACAGACAGACAGACAGACGGACGGACGGACAGACAGACAGACGGACGGACAGACAGGCAGGCAGACCGACGGACAGACAGACAGACGGACGAACGGACGGACAGGCAGGCAGGCAGGCAGGCAGACGGACAAATAGACAGATAAACACGCAAATACGCGGACGAACAAAAATACAAGCAAGCAAGCAGGCAAGCAAGCAAACAAGCAAGCAAACAAGCAAACAAAGAAAGAAAGAAAGAAAGAAAGAAACAAACAGCCAAGCCAAGCCAAGCCAAGCAAAACCAAACCAAACCATGCCAAACCAGCAAGCAACCAATCAAACCAGCATACCAGCAAAACAATCAACCAGATAGTCAGAAGCAAGCAAGCACGCAAATATATGCCCCAAGCAAACGAACAAAACAATCCAACAAAAGTAAAAACAAACACAACAAACAAACAAACAAACAAACAAACAAACAAACAAACAAACAAACAAACAAACAAACAAACAAACAAACAAACAAACAAACAAAACAACCAAACAAACAAGCTAGCAAACAAGCAAGCAACAAAAGCAAAACAAAGCAAAGCAGTGCAAATCAACACAACACAAACAAACAAAGTCGACTAAAAAACCAAACAACACAACAAAACAAACCAACTGACTGGCCGACTGACTGACCGACCGGCTGACCAACACATCCCCAAGCGCCAGCGCGGCTCTCAACTTCCCGGTGCCCGCCTTGGGCCTCACAAAGGAAGGCCTCAGACGCGACCGTTTCCCATCAATGGGCTCCACTCACTCCAATTGAAAGGGTGGGGTCTTGAGCAATGTAGCGGAACTACCAACAGGGGGGGGGGGGTCCTAGTGGTTTCGCTTCCAACCAGCCAAAAGGTTGTTGGGTCCACCATTTTGAGAAACCGTATGAGGTGCAACCCTGGAATCGTGGGCGCCCCTCAAACAGCCCACGCTCAACCCCTTGATTTGGCTGTTCGGCGGAGGTAAAACCAGGAAGCGTGGTTCTTGTTGTTCCACAGCGATGTGTTTGCTTTGCACCTGGAGAAATTGCAGTGTTCTGCTGCGTTTCCTACGTTTTCTACATGACGTCCTAGAGGGTGGTGGTTTAGGGTTGGTTTGGGGTTGTGTAAGGGTGGGTTGAAGGTTGGTTTGGGGTTAGGATTGCTTTGGGGTGAGTTTAGGGTCGGTTTAGGTGTGTTTGGGTTGTCTAGGGTTGGTTGCGGGTGGGCTTGGCACAGGTTTAGGAACGCTTTGGGGTAGGTGAGTTTCGGGATTGGTGTTGGGAGTGTTTGGTTGAGGCTGCGTCTCGGATGCAGCTTCCCCCACCTCATCTACCAATCCTCAGGTGGCAACCGGATTGGCGTGGACCTCTCAGTTTGCGCCGGGGCTGCATTGCTCCAACGTCAGCTCGCCAGTCTGGAATTGTGCGAAGTAGCCGCCTTCCCGAATTCGAGACCTTCCAACTCCCATGCCCTTCCAACAGAACTGGCAAATTGTGTGGCTGAAATGGCTGGGTGTCCCAGCGGTGAGCGGGCGCCATCTTTGGGCTCCTCTTTCTCCTCCTTCGCCTTCTTGCCTGCCAGGAAAAAACCCAAGGCAAGCCAACTGTGCAACGCCTTCGGTTTGATGCTGCTTTGGCATCCCTGTTCCATCTCAGACATGCCAATGCCTTGCAATACTTCTGTGGTTCACTGGGGGAAGCGGCCGGGCGGAAAGTTTCAGGAAACCCCATTGAGCGGTCCTGAAACAATGTGCCAAGTCATGAATTGTGACGTCCCTTGGGTTGAAGCCAAGGCAACGGGCGGGCGAGCCCCCGTTTTGATGGCCACTGAAGGCTCGTCAAGGTCGGACTCCAATTCCGCGGCCGCATGTTGGAACGAACACACCAAGGTGCTCTTAAATTAAGGGTCATCATTTCTGTTGAACCTTCTCCAGAGAGGGTTTGTCTTTTTGGCACAAAGAAGAAGAAGAAGAAGAAGAAGTCCATGTCCTGGTTGTCTTGGCAAAATCCAGAGGTCCACGTTCAGGGATCCTTACATTATACACCTGAACATTGCCTTGTAAATGGTGGTTTCCCTTTATTTTGGTGTTGAAAACGCAACATGCTTCAAATGGTTGCAAAATTTGTATCTTTTAAGGAGCCCTGATGTCCTCTCCCCAAGAAACATCTGAAAACTGACCATGGACTTGGCCCGTGCCTTCCTACCCCTTCGAGCCTGGCGATGCGACCCATGCCAGGCGTCCAGAGAATGAAATTCGGGGATTGACTCACCAAGGGAATCCGAATAGCCTCTGGGTACTGTTGTTGTGGCAACATCCCCCGCCTGTTGAATCCAGGTTGATCCGGGGGTCATGCAAGAAGCCAGAAAAGGGGCCCTGCCGGGATCTTCAGAACATCCGCAACATCATCTTTCTTTTCATCAATCTGCCCCATCATTTGGCTGTTCAAAGATAGGGTAACCCCAAACTGGCTTGCCCTGGTAAATGGAACCAAGGACATTTCAACCTGCGGTCCAATTCCTGGTGGTTTAACTTTGACCCATACCCCTTTTCCCGGTTTGCCGAAAACTTGGAACCACGCCTTCGTCCTTCTCCTTCCTCTTGCCGGCAGCAGGAACTGCGAGGCTGCTCCAAAGAAATAAACCCCGGGGCCACGCGGGGAAATGTGGCTCCCTCTCAAAAATGCCATGAGCTGGTGACCAGCTGGCTCCTCACAATGAAAACAACTAACCAAGTGTATTGAATCGCCTGGCTGGACCTCCATGGAGCCGTGCCTTTTCCCTGACCACTGTCAAACATCCCACCATGTGCATTGTGTGGGCTTAGGAAGCCGAGGAAGGGTAGGGGAGCAGCTTGTCACTCAATCAGGGCAATGTTCTGCACGAGCCACACCACAAGGGGGGCATATCTGCCTTGAAGCGAACTCCTGCCACACTGAATCACTGACATTCATACATTTGTCTATGGGCGTGTATGTATATGTATATCTATATACAGAGAGAGAGAGAGCGAGATATATATATATATACACCATACACATGTATGTATATATAATATGCAACGTACATACATTATGGTAACCCGGGCCACAACACACAACGCACGCAAACGACCTCCAAGGGAGTTTCACGGTATGTGTTTGTTGTGAGTATCACCACTTTTTCAGGCAGCCCAAATTTGAGCATTGAACGGTGACAGCATCCGCACATCTGACAGTGACTGTAAGTGCGCAAAACGCTTCAAAGCTCTTGTGGATTCCAAAACGCTTCAAGATCAGCATTGTTCGCACTCGTTTCAAAGCTTGAATCCAGTGGGGCTGCAACGCAAGTAAAATGCTTGTAAGATGCTTGAGACCCTCAGGGCTCTCATGTTGAATCTTGCATTCAAGGCTCCAAATGATTTGCTTTAAAGCGCCTTCAAGCGTGGCTTTTGCTGTACAAGGTGTGGACTCAAAGATAAGTGAGAGCCTGAGAAAATCGGGTCTTCAAACGCTTCAAAAGTACTGTACTGTTCAACTACCCCCTTGGCCAAATTGTCTCACGGGCTCAACTTGTGTCCGCTCCCGGCCTACACCACCCTCCGGGTAGAGCTTAAGCCAACCCTGGCCAGGCATGGCCAGACTATGGATCGCCAGTTGCTATGTTGTCCCCATCTGTGACTGTTTTCAAAGGTGTCTGCGAAACAACTGCAACTTGGGTATCTATGTTGGTTTGAACAGGCGATGGCAACCAAAGGGAAACCAACCACTTTTCGAGGTACTCAAATCTTTCACACTGCCACTGCACAGGTCCAACCTGGACCGCAGGATGGGTGTGGCTCAACTCGCTCCCATGGGAACAATAGACGCAATCCAAGAGGCACTTGGATGCCACCTCAACAGGAAGGCCGGAGTGCAAAACCCAACGACTAGCAGTCCCTCCTTAGGACGAAACCGATTAAGACCGACTTCTCTCGAGCTTGTTTTAAAGGCGCCACGTGCTTCTGCGATGGAGGTGCGCAATGGTACACTACGGGAAGAATGGAGCCTTGCGGGGTGCACGTAGTGTGTTTGTGGGACTAGAATGGTCAAGGTCAAGCTTGGTTTTGACTTCGAAAAGGTACTGTACAAAGACAAACACACAAACACACATGCAATCACGCAATCACGCGCGCAGGCACGCAGGCACACAGGCACGCAGGCACACACCCACACACCCAGCCCAGCCACCCACGCACGCACGCTGCCAATCACGAACTCCAATTTGTTTCTTGGTGCCCCCAACCGCCCGCGCCAATGGCTCCCCGCAAGTCCATTTTGCTCTCAAGGCCTTGCCGTAGTCGTGGCGGAAGTCCTCTGGCCGCGCGCCATTGGCTTTTGCCTGCGTCGACGGTGAGCTGACCCATTCGCATTGACGCATGACGCCATTCCCCTTTTTGCTCGTCTCACGCTCCTCACAAATTTCCCTTTGATTGCCTGACACCCCTACACAGGTATGGTGGCGGGTCTCGCAGTGCGGGACTCAATGCGAGTTGAATCGAAGGCAAACCTGAACGGCCATGCGCTCGGGGACAAGTTGTAATTAGGTCCTGAAGGCCAACTTTGGGAAACACACCAAACAACATGTACCCTGCCGTCGGCGACCACATCCATGAAACTGCGAACGTCACAATTCAGGCTATCCCACAAGCAATGCTGGTCGTTCATGCCGGCTACAAAATGACTTCAAAAACAAAACACCCTTGCGACGCCAGGACTTGCGGTTTGCCCCATTTTCCAGACATTAGACGGCCTTCAAAGATTCCCCCAAGCAGTCGCCGCATGTGAGACCTGCACCTTTTCCTGCCTCGCCCAGGGTCTTGGACTTTTTGTAGCGCTCGTAGAGGTCGTGGGATTTGCTGCCCGGGCGCTTCTGATTCTCCTGGCGCTTGGCCAGGGGTCCCATGCCGTCTTGCCGTCTGGCAAGGCAGCCCCCGCAGTCAGCTTTGTGGAAGACACTGGCGGGGCCTAAACCTGGAGCAGGAATCATTACAAGCCTCCCTCCTGTGAGTCCGGAAAACAGAATCCAACCAAGTCTTGTCGCCATTGGCCAAGGCACACGGCTTGGGCTTAAAGAAAGCAACCAGGACTTTTTGCCCAGCCTTTGGTCATTACCGTTGATTCAACCCTCGGGGCTCCTGCTCATATTCGAGCGGAGTGGTGTCCGGTAGCTCGCTCCACTTCACCGACGCGGGCTGCGCCGGTTGCGCCATGGCCCCATCGCCGGCGCCCGAACCGAAGAAAACCGCCGAAGCGCCGAAGCGCCGAACCGCGCCGGCGATTTCGGATTGAAGTGACTTCTGAAACTCGTTGGCCCTTGACTGGACAAGCTAAACTTCCTGCATGTAACTGAAAATGATTTGAAAAGGTGCCAAACTTCCAAACAGTTCCAAGCTACCAAGGGAAGCCTCCAGTCGACACCCAGCCGCGGGCTTCCCAAACTGCACGTTCTGGGCAAGATATGGGTAATGAGTCGTATTCAAATACCAAAAGCAAGGCAAATACACCCGGCTGTAAAGGCTCTGGACTCCGTAAGCGTGATTGACAACCTGTTTGCACGCCACCCAAACATGGGATCCCCGCGTGTCATACGTGAGTCTAATGAGCAAACAATGGGATGGCTTAAGGCTGCGGTCTGAACGTGTCGAGGCTTCCCATCCGCATGAGCAATCAGGCTTCATGGGTATCAGGTCCTGGCACTCGGTCATGATACTCACGCCCCAGTCAAGAGATCTCAAGATCAGCCATCCATGCGGCCGACAGATTCAACATGCTCCATAGCTTTCCGCCAACCCGGTGCCCACCTGGCAACAGTGCCTTGTACGAAGCCGATTGCCATCCCAGTCAAGCCAGCCGCACATTTCACGCATCTGGTTTGGTCTGAGTCATCAATTTGAACCTCGGCTGGCTCATGCGAGTTTCCATGCACGCTGAACCCCTTCTCCCTGGCCAACAGCCCCCCCCAAAAAAAAAGCAAACTTTGCTGGTAACAATATGGTCGTTCCATTTGTCCCACAAAGAAACCCGGGGGGGAGGGGCAACCGAGCTCGAAGGCCCCGTGTCTTTGAGGAACTGCCAGCTTCCATCGAGACCTCACCTTGCGCTTCCACGCGGCAACGATTGATGACTCACATCAAGTTGCCACCTTGATGCATTGAGGAAGCTCGACACAGGAGAGCCTGAAATGCAATGCTCAACGAGGAGTGCCATCTTCCAGCCGATTTCTTCAATGCAAGAAAACATCAGCATTCGCTATTCCCATTCTGCCAAGCACATGATGGCCGGAGAAACCGGCGTAAGGATCGTAGCTTGGCATTGCACTTTTAACAGCTGAAATGTGCCCCAATGCAGCTCCATTCCGCACAGCATACCATATGCAGCCCTCTGCAAAAGCTCCTACTGTCTTGAATGGTCACTTTTTTGAACCACATGAGCCTCTGCCAAATCATAAAGCAGAAGCGCAAGATAGCTCTCGGGGGCCCCAACAGGAGCAATCAACGTGTATTGCGCAGGGAGGCATCAACATCACTCGGTGCCAAAATGAGACCACTCTCTTGAACAACAATGACTCCAAACTGACTCCAAAGCCATGCCGAGCACACGGCGGAACATGCCAACCTGCCTGGAATCATTCCTTTTCTCCCAAGCCCCCAGCGTCTCCTTTGATCTTTCAAGTCAGAGCAAGTCTTGCTATAAGCAGGACGAGAAATCGCACTGCGGTCAGGCGACGCTTCAAATGCTGTTGGTCTTTACCGCTGGTGGAGGCGAATTTGCGGCGAATGGACAAACAAAGCGGCTTTCAGGCTCCAGCAGCACGTTCAGATTCCCAGCCCCCCCACTTGGTCCAAGGCACGCTCACTGGCGTGGGTAGCTGTGTCTGTTTGCTGCTGCCCTTTAGGCTGCTGCATGGAGTCCTCAGCCCGCCAAGCTGCCCGATCTTTGAACCCTTAGGAAGCCTCATGGCTGATGCTATTCCTTGTGCTGGTCAAATCACCAAGAACTGCGGCAGCCAATGGTGATGTGACAAAAAGGGTCCAATGATAGCCTTTGTAGCTGCCATGGCTTCAGTACTCAAACCATGGCTGAAGGAGCCATGATTCTCTTATGCCATCCTGTGGTGGGCGCAAAGAATTCGATACATCTGCTCTCCATTGCCATGAATGAGAAAAACACATGGCTTGCATTCTGATGTATTGAGACTTCCATATGAGGCTGTGAATGTTGAATGATTGGGCCAGTCGCAACCCCCATAGACGAACACACAAACACAATCAAACCAAACCAAACCAAACTAACAAGCAAGCAAGAAAGCCTCACATGCCCAGTGGCCAGTGGCCAGGGAAAAAAAGGCATCTTTTTTTTGGTTGGTTGAGTTTAAAGGGAACCCTTCCCAAAAAAATGAAAAACGGCACCACTGGGCAGCTGGGAAGCGAAGCAAGCAATCAAACAAGCACGCCAGGGAAAAACACGCAATCAGGATGGCCAACCCTTCGTCTTCAAAAAAGCTGCGGCCTAAACTCTCGTGCTTTCCTCGAGGTAGTCTCTCCCCCAGGCAAGCTCCACAGACCCGCAGTGCACACTAGGCAACGAGCTGAAAGTGAGCGCTTCTCCAGTGATCCTAGGTCCTGTCACCCAGAGCTGAGTGGTTCATTGCCGAATCCCACTTCCCAATGTTCACACAAACCCTCCCTTCAAAACGGTAACGGTTGATTCCTTCCAAGAGTGGCCAGGATTGGCCAAGTGCAGCTCCGAGCCGCTCTTATTGGTGGCCTTGCGGCGGCTGCATCTGTTGCTGCCCTTGGGGCATGGAATCCTGCGGCGGTCTGTGGATGAGAAAGAGAAGCAAAGAGAAGGCCATCGTTGCTTTGAGACGAGCGAAAAGGACAGTGATGCCACAAAGCGTTCAACTCACTTCAAGCTAACCCTCTCCACATCCTGCAACGTTCCACGCGGAACGGCAAAGAAACTCTCCGCTTCACTTCGACTGGAGCCTCTCTTTGAGGCGGGGGGCTTTGCCGGTGACCATCGAACAATTTCATTGCATCGAGGCAAGCAACTAGTGGAATACTTCGACTCGTTTTACGCGAAGTCCTTCCGTGACTTTGTATGGCGTTTGCTGCTTGGGAGGGGCGTTGCAGTTTGAGCCCTTGAGCCTCCCAACCCACCCCTCCTTGAAAGGTTCGCAAGATGCATGGATAAAGCTGTGAGCAATGCACGTCCATCTATCCTTGAACACAGCAAACAACAAACAACGATAGCCTACAAAGAAACCCTCTCCCCCTACCTGCGTATTGGTCAGGGAGATTCTCTCGTCAGAAAAGAGGCCACTTTGACCTCCGGCGGGGCTTCGTTGGGAAGAAAAGACCGCAAACAAATGATGTTCCCAAGCCCATGAATACTACTCCGCTCCAACCTGCTGCCCCCAGGGCTTTCCTCAGCCGTTCCTTGAGTTTTGCTGACGCCCCTCATCAGTTGTTCAGTGGGTCCCTTCCAACTCATCTGTCCGCTACATGATTCAGCAGCGCTAGCGCGACGAAACGACTTGGCGGCGGTTTCCTTTGAGACAGAACGGGACTAGACTTGTTGCTTTCCCGCGCCTGGGAGGCCATGAGGAAAGCACCGGGGAAACAGCCTCCTTGCCCTGCGCGGTGTGTGGCCGCAGGAAAACACTTGCGGTCTTTTCTGAATGGGGAACCACTGGCTTCCTGTAGTGGTACATGGAACCAGTGGGCTGGTGATGAATATTGAGGTGGAGGAACGGGGCCAAAGTCAGCCCCACTCCCAACCTTGCTCAATTGCAAAACAATCCAAGCTGAAGTTTCCGAGCCCAATCCACAACCGGGCAAAAAACGAGTCACCCAATGGAAGCCGCGCGGATACTCTCTTGATTCGAGTAACATGCAAACCCCCAGAAGCACCCCATGGATAAGAGAAGCTGTTGGGGCACCCTTTTGGGTTCCATGCCAATCTTCGGGGGAGGCGTTGGCAAGAAAATGCGAGTCACTCCCTGCGCTTTTGATCCGTCGGCAATGGCCTCAATGTGTCATCTGCGGATGGCAACAAATATGGGTTCCCTTAGGTTGCTCTGAATGCAGCAACCTCGCCCCACGATCATAGATCATGACTTTGGTTTTCAAGTCCCCATTTAATTTGGGGTGTCTCCCCTTTTCTCCCTCCTTTCCAGGCTTCGTGTTTATAGTAATTAACTTTTCCACTGCATGAGCACAACTTCCCGCCTCCGCCGGTGATCAAAGCCATCGGCATACCGAGAGGCATTCCTGCGGCGCTTGTTTGGGCGCCGGTGCATCCCACTTAGTTGGCCAAGATGATGAGCATGCATGGGGTTCCGGGAAAACATCCTAGTACGGCCGTCAGAGGTGAACAAGCATGCACATTATTGTCCTATATGACCATGTCGTTGAGATAGTTCAATAGTGCCCCACAACCCGATTCTAGTTGTGTAGCCTTTATAGTATGTAGGTCACATTTACTCATCTTTGCCCCGATAAGTGGGAGACATCTCCAAGTAGCCATGCTTGTGGGTGTCACCGAATTGCCATGTTATGCAGGGTCCTTGCCTGCCCTACACCAAAAGAAGGTGACATGCCTGCTTGACCATTGGAACATCTGCCGAACAAAATTGCACACATCCTGGACTGGTTGCGTCTCTCTTGATGGCACGCAGTCAGCTTCGCTTTGTGTCAGTTGAAAACGAGCGACCCTTGACTCAGCGCTAGCGGCTAGCGCTGCGCGGCTTCGCTCTTGGGTCAACACCTCCCGTGACCAAAGCGGCTTACTTCCTTGCGGTGTCTTTGAGGACGCTCAGTGCGCTTATCATTCGGCAGGCTTGTGCGCAGTGGTGCCAGTTGAATGTGTGCATGAATTGAGCGGGCATGTCTGCAGTGGTGCACGGGGTTGAAAGGGCGCGCTTGCATGTGTGCAGTGGTGCACTGGCCCAGCAGTGGTGCACTGGCCCAGTTGAACGGGTGTGCTTATCAATTGGCAGGCATGTGTGCGGTGATGTGTGGGCAAGCTGCACCGATGTGCCGAAACTGTCAAATTGGGTGCGTGAGCAAAACCAACGCCCCTTGAACCAGCAAGCTGCGAGGTGCCGCAGGCCTCTTTCTTGCATGCCAAACAAGCTACCCATCATGTGAGAAGCATCAATGGCCCCAGCTGCGACTTGAGTCATCCGACGGGGTCCTTGCTGCAAGGGCATTAGGCCCACCAGTGGCATCGCGCCATTGAAATTGCGGCAGCCCCCGCACCCTGGCCACGTCGTCCCATGCCAGCGGAAGGGTCACTGCATGACCCCTTCAAATGTTGCGCTTCACCAGTGGTGTCCATTGAAGAAGGCCACTATTGGAGGTTCCAAGCAAGGACGTTTAGGAAACCCTGGGACTTGCTGGTTGGAGTTCTGTCCCATTGAAAACAAACAAGTATTGTTTGATCTCACCCACAGAAGGAGCCTAGTTAAGGAGTCAGATGTTGGGGGGTCCCAGTTTAGGCTGGTGGGTGTTCAGAGGAATTCTCCGATCTGTAGGAATTCTCCAGGGTGGACCCTGGCTCGGTACCACACACATCCGCTCTTAGACTCTTAGGGCACGGATGGCTTGGCAAGGCACGTCAGAGCTGCGACTTGGATCCTGCCCTGGCCATTCCCATAGCTTTCAAAAACCGGGTGGCCTGTGCCAAAGCCAACTTGGTCTGTATTCAATGAAAAGATGGTTGGCAAGAGGTACCAAGAGTTTATTACTTTCATCCTCACCTACACTCTCTCTCTCTCTTTTTTAATACTAATGCAGCGACTTACCGAAATTCGACTTACCTTTTCCCCTATGCATTTCTTTGGATTTTATGTACTGCCAAGAAGGATCTCACTTTTGCAGAATCTGTCCATTCCTGGAATGTCCTGTCCTCTATCGAATCTGGCATACAGTTGTTCCTATCTTTTTCACCTGTTCTTCATCGCTTTCTTTATCATTCGTCTGACTGGCAAGTTGGAACGATCCAAGGGAGACCGAAATTGCCAGGCAGTCGTGGACACCAGCAGCACACAGCCGGATTGTCACCAAGAGAGGATGGAGCCCTGGGCAAGTTTTCCTCAAATTGCAACTGGCTCCCCCATGACAATTCCGTAAAGCACAAAGCAGGGCATCAGCCAGCCCTGCTGTGCATGAACAAAATCTGGACGGGAGCTCACATTCACGGGCCGCAGCGGGGCCCCTCTCCCCGCCTGAGTTCTCCTGGTTGCCGGTGTTGGCCGCCGCTCCACCCGCATTGCCAGCTCCCGTCGCACCGGCGCCGGCGCTGGCCCCGCAGCCGCTGCCGCATGCACCGCAGCCGCTGCACCCGGCGCACCCGGAGCACCCGCCGCACGCGTTGCCGCTGGGGAAGTTGCCTCGGATGCGATGCCTTTGGAGCTTCAAAGGTGGGGCCGAAGCTGAAGGGGATGTCGTGCTGTCTTTTTTTTGGCCCGCCTTTTTCAGCACATTGCTTCCAAGTCTTGAAACCTCCCTGACACCTTTCGCGCCAAGGTACCGCAGCCGCAGCCACACATGGACTGGCAGCATCCGCCACAGTTCCCGCAGCCTCCGCCGCAGTTCCCACAGCCTGGCGACAATTGGCTGTGAACCAACGGGATACCTCGAGGGTCACAGAGACAAATCAGTTTGTGTGGATGCTGTGCATCTGTGCATGGCACCCCCTACATGGAGGCCCACACTAAGTGAGATGAAAGCCTTCCAGATACAGCTTCATTCGTAGCCGACTGAACTGGCTGAGCAAACCCCATCCATTGATTTACCATGGCACAAGGTAAGTCTGCCACAGCAGGGAGTCAAAGGATGTTTCTCCAAACAAATGATGCTCTTTCGTGCAACCAGGTTTCAAATTGCCGCCGGCAGGACCTTTGCAGCTCCATGTTTCAATATGACCTAAACTGCAATTTCCTCTAACGGGCCATGGCTGGTAAGCATCGTGCTCTCAGGTCGAACCCTTGCAAGCGCCGCAAACCAGCACCCTGGATGGGGTGCCCGGGCCATTAGCCAACACCCCTGGCACCGGGAACCCCAGATACATCAACCCCAGGTTTTGACAATCTGACAGCAGCGTTTCCTTTCGAGGATCCGTCGCTTTTCTGGCTACTCGTCCTAATACTTTGTGTTTTTCAATCAAACTCGCCCAAGACTAGTCCCAAAGGCGATGCTCAAAGCTGAAAGTTTTCAGGGAGAACCGTCTGTGCCTCCCTTGATTGCTCCAAAGATTCCAAGAGTATGAGCCAGAGCAGGGCCATTCGTTGGACCCTGGGATTCAACGAAGATTCCTGTTGGATGCAAACGATGATTCTTGTCCGCCATCGGAAGCTCATCCTCGCTGGACCCACCTCTTTGACTGTTTTTAGACCCCCACAATTGATCATTTATCCTGCCCGAGATACTGAAAAACCTGGCCCCACGTCCACCGTGCCTCGGAAATTATCCATACAGCCGCAGGCCGCGCGGCCACAGCCGCACGGGCACCCGCAACCGCAGCCCACATTGCAGCCGCAGGGGATGCACCCCGAACCTCGAAACGGCGTGCCGTGTATTTGGCTTGGTTATGGGAACCGCCTTGGGGATGTCAGGGTGCCTCATGTTGAGAGCAAGAAAAACGAGCACGAAGGCGGGGAGGTGCAAATGTGCTCATGGTCTTCTCCGAGAACAAGGAGACAAATGCTCGTGCAAACTGGACCTTTCGACTTTTGAATTTCCGGTTTCTGGAGGAATTGCGACCATGTCAGGTTACTTTGGAATCATATTTGTGTTACAGTTTGGTTTTCAGTGTTGAGCCCCGGTTCCATAGGCAGAAAACGTGATACTCTTCCGAAAACTCAGAATCCCAAATCCGGCCCTTGCTTTACTGCTGGCACACCCCGAAGAAAAAAACAGTAGAGGCAAAATCCTGGCGCGACCCGAAAGGAACGAAGCTTCATGACCCCAGCCTGGATCGGATGGAGAGGCTGAGTGCATAGGATAGTTCAAGGTGACTTTGTATCCTTTTAGAGATTACCCTGTACAGGGTTCACTGGTTTGGAACTTTGAGATACATGTCACAACCAAGCATATACGACTCTGAATGTTACTAGTATATCCTAAATAGGCTGGACCAAGTAGATAGTCTTTGAGATCATATCAACCAAAAAATGTTCCCCGAGATATGATGATGTCCCTTGTGGCTGTATGAGATACTTGGACTTTGTGGGATACAACTCAAAAAGTGCAACGTTTTCATGGGCAAAGCTTGAGGCATCTGTTGCTTGAATTGCCAAAGCAACGGCTTCGAGTCTATCCTGTGTCTAACAACTCGGCCGAGGTCGATATGCGGGGGGCGGGGGGGGGGGGTCGTTTTTGGGTTTTGAGGGTTCGGATTCTTGGTGTTGTCTCAAGGCGAAGCCAAAAGAAAACCCACCCATTCGTGGGGTCCACCATTTTAAGAGAAGCCCGGGACATTGCAACCTGCGACGGTGCTGCACCAAACCTCGGTAGGATCCGAGGTGCGCCGCTCCTTCTGAAACGCCTCCCCACAGACCTCCCCTCCTCACGCCTTGCTGGCGGGATTCGAATGGCCGGAATAGGACAAAGCTGCGATCCCCCGATCCCCCGATTCCGAGATCGCCGGGAAGCTGCAGGGTGGGAGACAGCCACAGTTGCACCCACAGTTGCCGCAGCTTCCGCAGTTGCCTGGCCCCGAGATAAGCCCTGATCTCGCGCCGGCGTTCCACAGTAAGGGAACACCCCGGCTTTCATCTGGAAAGGGGG